TCTAGATCCGAAATTGAGCCAGTTTAACCCGCAACAAGAGTCACAATTCTGTGGCATTGTTAAAAAATATGTCGATGATATGTATAAAACGACAGATGAAAATCGTCAATACCTCCCACCATCAGCGCAATCTATGACTAAACAAAATGTGATTGATAAAGTGATGTTGTCACCTGAAATGCAGTTACTTAAAAAATATAATATTCAGTGTGATTTGAAATAGGGTTATCTTTAACATCTTACATCTGAGCTATATTATTTATGGATTTTAGCCAATTTCAAATTGAGAATGAGCAAATTGTTCTCAACATCATTCAAGTATCTGATGCTGAAGATTTATATAGCGCAATAACAAATAGCTTAACCGAGCTTAGAAAGTTTCCTGCAAGTTTAGTATGGGCATTGGAAGAACCTAATTTGCATGCTTCAATGGCATTTTGCCAATCTCGTTTGGTGGCGTTGTTAAATAAAGAGAACTTTGTATTTATTATCCGTTTAAAAGAAACTGATGATCTTTTAGGGGTGGTCGATATCCATGCAATTGATTGGTTGCAAAATACTGCATCTATTGGGTTTTGGGGAAACTCAAAATTTAAGCAAAAAGGCTACATGTCACAAGCGCTAATACTATTTGTAAGTAGTTTATTTTCGAAATGGAATTTTGTCGGTTTAAATGCTTATGTCGATGCAGAAAATATATTGGCACGAAAATTATGTGAAAAAGCTGGGTTTTTACTTAAAAATATTCAATATCAATCTGTACGGAATCCAGTCGATGGTGGCTTTAGAGATATTTGCCATTATCAGATAGAAAATAAATTAAGTGATATTGTAGATTGACGATTTTGGGCTATTTAACAAGAAACTATTTCATTGCAAAATAATTTTTATTTAAGCTGTTAAATAGACCAAATCAAACAGAAATTCAGATTTAAGAACGTTGGGTTTAGCCAAGTTTTGCTTTAATTTTTGCAGAAACTTGTGCTGGATCGGCACGTCCGGCTATGATCGGACGTAGAGAATTCATCACCTTACCCATATCTTTCATGCTAGTTGCACCTTGCGCAGTAATAGTTTGCGCAATGAGAGAATCAAGCTCGTCCTCTGACATAGCTTCAGGTAGAAACTGAGATAACACCTCAATTTCGGCTTGTTCTTTACTAGCTAAATCTTCACGGCCTGCACCTTCAAAGGCTTTGACCGATTCTTTACGTTGTTTGATTTGCTTTTCAATGACCGCAAGAACCTGAGTATCGTCAAGCTCTATGCGCTCATCGACTTCGATTTGCTTGATTGCTGCCTGTAGACCACGAATTACCGTTAACTTACCCATTTCTTTAGCACGCATTGTTGCTTTTAAAACATCAGTTATTTGGTTTTTTAAAGTAGTCATTTATCTGTCCAGGTGAGTCAATCAATCACAAATTAATCTTAGTAAAGGCGAGTAGTACGTACTGATTCACGCGCCAATTTCTTTTGGTAGCGTTTAACAGCAGCAGCTTTTTTACGTTTACGTTCTTGAGTAGGTTTCTCGTAGAATTCACGTTTACGAACATCAGCTAAAACACCAGCTTTTTCGCATGAACGTTTGAAACGACGGATAGCTACGTCTACTGGTTCGCCTTCTTTCAATTTAACTTGTGGCATGAAGAATCCTCATTAAGTTATGGATAAGATCAGGGTCGAATTACCCTAGATCACAAGTGAAGGTCAGTATTTTACTCATTTACATCTCATACCACAAGTCTATAATAGCTTTAGCAATATTTTGAAATGGGTAAAAGGCAATTTAATGATCGTTCTGGGCTTAGAAACTTCATGTGATGAAACAGGATTAGCGCTCTATGACAATGAAGTCGGCTTAAGAGGACAGGTGTTATATAGTCAAATTAAATTGCATGCAGAGTATGGTGGTGTCGTTCCTGAGTTGGCTTCTCGTGATCATGTTCGAAAGTTAATTCCTTTGATTAATCAACTTCTTGAGCAAAGCGGTGTGAAAAAATCAGAGATCGATGCAGTGGCGTATACGCGCGGCCCTGGCTTAATGGGTGCACTGATGACAGGGGCATTATTTGGTCGCACCTTGGCTTTTGCGCTGAATAAACCCGCAATTGGCGTGCATCATATGGAAGGTCATATGCTTGCTCCATTATTATCCGAAAATCCACCTGAATTTCCGTTTGTCGCATTATTAGTGTCAGGTGGACACACTCAATTGATGGCAGCACACGCAATTGGTGAGTACGAAATTCTAGGTGAGTCGATTGATGATGCTGCTGGTGAAGCTTTTGATAAAGTCGCTAAAATGTTGAAATTACCTTATCCCGGTGGTCCAAATATTTCAAAATTGGCGGAACAAGGTGATAAAAACGCGTTTGAATTTCCACGTCCAATGTTGCATCAAGGGCTAGATTTTTCGTTTAGTGGTCTAAAAACTGCTGTTTCAGTGCAGTTAAAAAAATTAGGTGAAGAACAACGTGATGCAGACATTGCGGCTTCATTCCAAGAAGCTTTGGTGGATACTTTGGTTAAAAAGTCGATTAAAGCATTAAAACAGTCGGGTTTAAGACGTTTGGTGATTGCGGGCGGTGTCAGTGCCAATAGACGTTTAAGAGAGCGTTTAGAAGCAGATTTAGCTAAAATTAAAGCAACGGTTTATTATGCAGAACCTGCTTTATGTACAGATAATGGCGCAATGATTGCGTTTGCAGGTTATCAGCGTTTAAAAGCTGGACAAAAAGATGGTTTATCGGTGACGACAACACCACGTTGGCCAATGACTGAATTGACGAAACCTGAATTAGTTTAAGTCTGGTATTTAACGGATCATTAAATTTAGAAAAGAGGCGAAAGCCTCTTTTTTTATGGATTTAAAATTTAACGCGAATAAGGCTTCCACGTTTTGCTTTTGTTATCATAGTTATATTGAACCTGATCATCGTAATTTGATTCAAATTTTGTATGGCCATATTGATGACTGATGCTAAAACAATTTTTGATATTGCTATAGGTTTCATGTGTGCCAGGATGATCACCATCGAATTGCGAACCCATTAAGCATAATTTGGCGTCATTCAATGCGAATGTATAAGTGGGCTTCTTTTTGACATTGTCTTCATTATCTTCTCAACCCGTGAACTGATAATTGAGTGGATAGACAATCCCTGTTTGGGTATCTATAGCAACCATTTCTAAAGAATCTGAAGTTCCCGTATTGAGTAAAATATATTTTCTATTAAAATTAGGCTGCATTGATTTAAGCGCATTTTTGTATTTGGCAAGGTTGGCTTTAGAACAATAATCGCCATTAAAATAATCACTCTGACACTCAGAAACTTTTTTAAACGTCGTCCCAGCATATGCCAATTGTAGTGATGCAGAACAAACAATCAGCGATAGGGCAAAAAAACTTTTCATTTATACTGACTTTGAATGCGTATTTATACAGTTTATCGCATTTCTTTTACTGTGGTTTATCTGATTTCATGATAGAAAATAATCAGAATATTAAAAAATGAGATTGGCATATGGACTTATTGTCTTCTGAACAGCATATCAACCCAAACAATATTGATACAGACCTTCAGCTTTATAAAAAATTTAGCCAAGGCGTGCGTTTACCTTATGAGGTTTTAAACATTCGCAATATTCCTGATGGTGCAAAACCCGGCCATTTTATCGAGGTTCGTTGTGGTGGGTTTGGTTCAGAAATTTCAGCACACCCCACAGAAAAGTATCAATTCTATGCACTTACAGATCGTGGGCCGAACACCACGTATAACGTCAATCAAGATCATGGCAAAATCTTTTTAGATCCTGACTATACCCCTAAAATTGGATTATTTGAGTTAAAAAAAGATGGAACTATTCAGAAAATAAAAGAAATTTTATTAAAAGATCCAATGGGCAGAAATATTACAGGTTTGCCTAATCAGCATTTTGGCGCAAGTAAAGAAATTGCCTATGACCAAGATGGAAAGAAATTAGCCATAGGGACAGATGAATTTGGATTGGATGCTGAAGGTTTGGTTGCACTCAAAGATGGTACTTTTTGGGTCAGCGATGAATATGGTCCTCATATTGTGCATTTTAATGCAGATGGGCTAGAAATTGATCGTATCAATGCCTATGTTTTAGATGAGCGCAGAACATCGGGTTATTTATTACCTCAAGAATATGCCAATAGACGCCAGAATCGAGGAATGGAAGGTTTAACCATTACACCCGATCAAAAAAAGCTGGTGGGCATCATGCAATCCACCATGAGCAATCCCAATGCATCGGTAAGCAAATCAGATCTTGTGCGTATTGTGATGATTGATTTAGAAAGCAAAGTCGTTTCTCAGTATTTGTATCAACAAGAAGGGGGTGCAAAGACCTATTCAAATACAGCAATTACAGCCTTGAGTTCCACGCAATTTCTAGTCGCAGAACGTGATGATGATTTCTATAAAGATAATCCTCAAGCATTTAAACGGATTTATAAAATCAATCTGCAACATGCCACTGATTTGGAAAAGCTAAAGCCAAGTTCAACGATTCGGCAAGATGAACAATTCGGTCTGTTGATAGCGGAACAAACCCTAGAACAATATGTGTTAACAGCAGGCTGGAGTGGTCTGGCTCAACAGGGTATCTACCCAGTAGAAAAAACCTTAGTGGTGGATTTGGTTGCGCGTTTACAGTATCCGCACGATAAAATTGAAGGTCTATGGGTGATTGATGAACAGCATTTAGGGGTTCTCAATGATGATGATTATGCTTTTTCTGAAACGGATGGGGTATTGGAACAAAAGTATTTGGATCACGATAAAAATATCATTGATGGCAATACACTCTATATCCTTGATCAATTGGATTTAACAGCAGATTAAGTATTTATTCATTCAAGATAAAATTAAACCGCCAAATTAATTTGGCGGTTTAATGAATGTATTTACGATTAACTTTGTGCTGGTTTTAAACTTGATTCAAGTATTAAGCTTGATTCAGATATTAAACTAGTATTCCCAGAACATCCGTTGAATTTCTTTTGCATCTTTGGTTTTGGTCAGTGCTAAAGCAGCTAAAAGTTTTGCTTTTTGCGGATTTAAATCGTGAGCAACCACCCAACCATATTTATCATCAGGCTGTTCAGCATTACGTAACACAAAACCTTGTGGAACGCGTGAAGAACGAATGATCTGTACACCTTGTTGCTGGAGTTGGTTTAATGTCGGAACAATATAATTTGCTACGGAACCATTACCTGTACCTGCATGAATAATGGCTTTAGCACCCGCTTTCGCGTAGGCCACATAGGCATCTGGAAGCATATTGCCTGAACCATAAACGATTTGAACGATTGGTAGCGCATCACCCTGAATGTTTTCAATATTAAACTCAGAGCTATTGTTAAAACGTTTTGCAACGTTTCTAAACCAATAAGGTTTACCTTCAACCAATGTACCTAAAGCACCCCATTGGCTGACAAAAGCATCGGTATGAATATTGATGGTCTTTGACACATCACGTGCTGCAAAAATATCGTCATTCATTAACACAAAAACGCCTTTGCCTTTGGCACTGTCTGCGGCAGCAAGCGCAACAGCACTATAAAGGTTCAAAGGGCCGTCAGCTGAAAGCGCTGAAGGTGGACGCATGGAACCAACAACGACAATTGGTTTATCTGTATGAACTGTAAGACTTAGAAAATAAGCAGTTTCTTCTAAAGTATCTGTACCATGGGTAATCACCACGCCATTCACATCAGGCTTTTTAACCAATTCGTTCACTTTGCGTGCAATTGTTAAAAGCTCTTTGTCAGTGATGCTTTCTGAAGCAACCTGTAAAGCCTGTACGCCTGTAACATTGGCAAGATTTTGAATTTGCGGAACTGCATTCAATAAATCATCTACAGGAACTTTCGCAGCAGTATATGTTGCGCTATTTGTAGAACTTGCTCCAGCACCCGCGATCGTACCGCCAGTTGCGACGACAACGACATTATTTTTTGCATAACTCGTAAAGGGTAAAAGCATGCCAATTGCAAGTGTAAGTGCAGTAACCGTCTTTTTCATAAACTATCCTTTTCAATCATTGTTCTGGTCATAAGCATTTTTTGTACCAGTTTTTAAATCTATATAAATACTGAGCTGTTGCCCATACTTATTTAAAAATGTAATTTTTCAAATAATCACTCAAATTTATAGTTACATACTATTAAAACTGGATAAAGTGCTTGCCAGTGCGTTTTTTCAGCATTCAATGAAGATGTTGTGTAATATAACGTCAATGACTAAGTTTTTAGTTGTACAGATGAATTGAGCAATAAAAAAAGGCATTCAATTTTGAATGCCTTTTTGAGCTTATCTTTACTTTATAAAGATTAACGCATTTTTGCCAAGAAACGACTTAAGCGGTTCATTGCTTCACGTAATTCATTTTCTGCAGGAAGGAATACCACACGGAAATGATCAGGTGTAGGCCAGTTAAAACCTGTTCCTTGAACCAGTAAAACTTTTTCAGCTTTGAGGAAATCTAACATGAATTTTTCATCATCTTCAATTGGATAGATTTCAGGATCCAGCCTAGGGAAACAATACATTGCACCTTCTGGTTTTACGCACGACACGCCAGGAATATCGTTAAGCATTTCCCAAGCAATATTGCGTTGTTCATATAAACGACCACCTGGGCGGATCAAATCATTAATTGATTGATATCCACCTAAAGCAGTTTGAATCGCATATTGGGCTTGATGGTTGGCACATAAACGCATAGAGGCAAGCATGTCCAAGCCTTCAATGTAATCCATTGCACGAGACTTATCACCCGTAATCGCCATCCAACCAGAACGGTAACCTGCAATACGATAGGCTTTAGATAAACCATTAAAAGAAACACATAAATGGTTTCCTGCTAATGCTGCAACAGAGACATGTTCGATACCGTCATACACAATTTTGTCGTAAATTTCATCTGCAAATAAAATCAGATCATGTTTTTTTGCCAATGCGACAATCTGTTCTAAAACATGGCGTGGATAGACTGAACCTGTTGGATTGTTTGGGTTAATCACCACAATACCACGAGTATTCGGGGTGATTTTACTTTCCATATCCGCCATATCAGGATACCAGTAGTTTTGGTCATCACATTTATAGTGAATCGCTGTACCACCTGATAGATTTACGGCTGCCGTCCATAATGGGTAATCTGGCATTGGAACCAGCATTTCATCGCCATCATCCAATAAACCTTGCATCGCCATAACGATCAGTTCAGATACACCATTCCCGATATACACATCTTTAACATGTAAATCCAAGATACCTTTTTGCTGATAATACTGACAGATGGCTTTACGCGCAGGGAAGATTCCTTTTGAATCTGTATAACCGACAGCATTAGGCAAATTTAAAGCCACATCATTGATAATTTCTTGCGGGGCTTCAAAGCCGAACGGGGCGGGGTTACCGATATTTAATTTAATAATTTTATGACCGGCTTCTTCCATCTCATTGGCCGCTCGTAACACTGGTCCACGAATGTCGTAGCAAACATGCTCTAGCTTTGACGATTTCTTGATTTCACGTGGGGTTGTGTTACCTAAAACGGACATAATTTTATCCAATTATTTTGAGTTAAAAAAATAGATTACTGAAATATCACAATCTATGTTGAAATTTAGCTAGAAATTTTCCAAGCTCTAGCGTAAATATGGAAGTACTGAAGCATGACATTGAATGTCAAAGATTTAAAGGAGTTTAATGATGGGAAAACTCAATAAAACAGACCGAGAATGGCAAAGAGAGTTATCACCAGAGGAATTTAAAATCACTCGACAAAAGGGCACTGAAGCTGCCTTTACTGGAAAGTATTGGAATTCCAAGCAGCATGGAACCTATGTATGTCGATGTTGTGGGGAAGAATTATTCTCTTCAGAAACCAAATATGACAGTGGTTGTGGTTGGCCGAGCTTTTTTAAACCGATCAATAATACTGTTATAGAAGAACAAGATGATCATTCACATGGTATGGAACGTGTAGAAATTATATGCCATCATTGCGACGCTCATTTGGGGCATGTATTTGAAGATGGACCACAACCAACGGGCTTACGCTACTGCGTAAATTCCGCTTCTTTAGAATTAAAATCACAAGAAAAAGGCGACGAGGAAACGTATCCATGACCAACATTTATCAGTTTGAGGCTGAGCTGTTAGAGGGTGAAAATAAATCTTTTTCTGATTATGAAGGAAAAGTTTTATTGATTGTAAATACTGCAAGTAAATGTGGCTTTACTCCACAATTTGCAGGATTAGAAAAGGTTTACGAGAAATATAAAGACCAAGGTCTTGAAGTTTTAGGATTTCCTTGTAACCAGTTCGGTGGACAAGACCCCGGTACAAATGAGCAAATCGGCACTTATTGCCAACGCAATTATGGTGTTTCTTTTCCAATGTTCGCTAAAGTGAATGTAAAAGGACCTGAAGCGCATGTGATATTCCGTTATTTAACCAATAACAGTAAGGGCATACTCGGCAGTGGCATTAAGTGGAATTTCACCAAATTCTTAATAAATAAGAAAGGTGAAGTGATTAACCGCTATGCACCAACCACGAAGCCTGAGGATATAGAACAGGATATTGAAAAAGCTTTAGCAGAATAACCTGTTGTATAGACCAAAATAAGACTGAGGATATGATGCAATTAGACACTGCAGTTGAATTTTGGACTGATCCGCAAATGCCCTATGTCGAAACACGTAGGGCATGTCAAAGCCGTATTTGCTATAGATCACATAGCCATCCGACCTTTTCGATTGGTGCTGTGGATTGTGGAATAAGTCGCTTTAGTAGCTATTTTGCCAGCGAAGAGCAAATTCAAACAGGAAGCGTAGTAATCATTCCTGCTGAGGTGGAACACGCATGTAATCCACTGGAAAATCAAGCCTGGAGTTATCAAATGATGCATCTAGATGCACATTGGGTTGCTCAACTTTTTTCAGAATTAGTCAAAGATATTGAGCAGCTTTATCCCCATCATATTCCGTTGCTAAAACCACAAATTTTAACAAACCCACATATATACCAAGCATTTACGCAGTTAAATCAGCTGTTATTTGATCCAACCATATCGATTTTATTCAAACAACAACAATTAATTGAAGTCCTGAGTGAAATATTATTGCCCAATTTTGAATTTACGTTATTAAAGCAGTCTGATTATTTTCAAAAGCATTTGGGTGCAATGATTGATGATATGAATCACAGTAAACAGATGCTTTCTTTAGAAGATCTCAGTCAAAGTCTAGGGATTAGTCGTTATGCCATTATTCGCTTGTTTAAAAATAATTTTGGCTTAACACCACATGCGTATCAATTAAATCAAAAAATAAATATAGCCAGAAAGCGTTTGAAGTCTGGAGAAGCAATTATTCAAGTTGCACATGATTTGGGATTTACAGACCAAGGTCATTTTCATCATGTGTTTAAATCGCATACTGGAATCACACCGAAGCAGTTTCAAGCTCAGTTTGTCATGCTCTAACTGCGCAATTATCTACAAGATAATAGGTTCTAAAAATATTTAAGCTTATCTAAATATTTTTTGGATCGAGTAATGCAACTGTTCATTATTGTGATTGTCACCCATTTCATTGCTTTGCTTTCACCGGGCCCTGATTTTTTTCTTATTTTAACTTCGTTGTTTCGAAATGGACCACATGCAGCGAGGGCTGTTTGCTTAGGGATCGTCTTGGGAAATGTTGCCGTGATTGGTCTTATTTTGAGCTCATTGTTTTTTCTTGGCAAACTCGATGATGAAATTTTAAAGCTGGTAAAATGGGGCTGTATTGCTTATTTAAGTTATTTGTCTTATCGGTGTTTCATATTTGCACAACAAGCTAAGCTAATAGGGGATTATCATCTAGAACACCAAAATAAACCAACCTTTGCATGGATGAAATATGTCTTACTGGGGGTACAGTCGAGTTTATTAAATCCTAAAAATATTCTGTTTTATAGCAGTATTATTATGGCAATTTATCAACACTATAATGTTGTTCAACTGACTTTAACCTGTCTGTGGATGGTGAGTGTAGTTTTGATCTGGAACTTGTTTTTGGTGCGATTGATGACTCAAAATAAAGCTATGCATTGGTTTAAAACCAAAATCAAATATATTTATTATCTTTCATCCTTTTGCTTTGGCTTATTTGCTGCGGCTTTGTTGCTGAATTAATCAAATAAAATTAGCTCAAATAAAAACATGCCTATCTAATAAAGATCAAGATAGGCATTCTCTTTTACATTATGTTGTCATCTGATTCAATTTTAAAAATCAAGAATGAGATACGCTTGCTTCGTTCGATTTATTGGCTTTATTGCGTTTGAATAACATGTTGTGAATATCATCAATAAAAGTATACACAACAGGAATAACCAATAATGATAAAAAGGTACTGGTAATCAGTCCACCAATTACAGAGATTGCCATTGGTGCTCTAAAACTTGGATCTGTACCTATTCCTAAGGCAATCGGAAACATACCTGCGCCCATCGCTAAAGTGGTCATAATAATGGGCCGTGCACGCTTATGGCAGGCATCTAAGAGCGCATTCATACGTGAATACTGCCGTTCATTACGGGCGATAATTGCATAATCGACCAAAAGAATCGAGTTTTTACTGGCAATTCCCATCAACATGATTAAGCCAATCAAACTTGGCATCGAAAAACTACTTTTTGCTAAAAGCAGTAGCACAAACGCACCACCCAGTGCCAAAGGCAATGCCACTAAAATGGTGATCGGTTGTAAGAAGTCTTTAAACAGGAGCACTAAAACCACATAGATACACAATACGCCTGTTAGCATAGCTAAACCAAAGCTTGCAAAGAGCTGTTCCATCACATCGGCATCACCCAGATTGGTACGTTTTACTGTCGGAGGTAAGTTTTTGATGGTTGGAAGTTTATCTACAGTAGCCGCAACATCGCCTAAAGGCTGATCATTGAGCTCAATATTAAAGTTGATGTTACGTAAACGGTTAAAACGGTCAATTTGTGAAGGACCACTTTCAATATTGACTTGTGCAATGGTGCCTAACATCACTGGACCTTTACTACCAGTAATCATCAAGCGTTTAATCAGATCTTGGTCTTGACGTGCAGACAATGGCAGTTTGATGACAATCGGAATTTGTCGTTGCGAAAGGTTTAATTTTGCCAAGTTCTGATCAAAATCTCCCGCCGTGGCAATACGCACAGTTTCAGCGATATTTTGTGTGGTAATGCCTAAATCCGCAGCTTTTGCAAAGTCAGGGCGAATCACCAATTCAGGGCGAATCAATGCTGCGCTTGAGGTAATACTACCAATATTTGGAATAGTACGGATTTCTCGTTCTACTTGACGTGCTGTCGTGATTAATACATCAGGGTCATCACCTGACAGCGCAATTTGATATTGGCTGTTATTGCCTGCAATACCGACTTGAATCCGTGCACCAGGCAGTGGAGCTAAACGTTGGCGCAAGTCATTTTCAATTTTTTGCAAACTTGCAGCACGGTCTGAACGTGCTGTGACTTGAATGGTTAAGGTTGCTTTTCTTGGTTCACTTGATGCACCACCTGCAAAAGGATCTGTACCTGCTGAACCACTACCAATCGTGGTATAGACACTTTTAATTTCAGGATGATCCTTAATTAAACTACGCGCGTATTCTGCTGCTTTTAAGGTATCTGGAAATTGTGAACCTGGTGGAAGCTCAACACGCACTTGGGTCTGCCCAGTGTCAGGTGGTGGAACAAAGCCTGTAGGGAGTAATGGGATGAGCATCAGTGAAGCAATAAAAAATATGATGGCACTGCTTAAGGTGATCCAACGATGATTTAAACACCACGTGACCATCCGCATATAGGCGCGCATCACCCGACCATCTTTGGCACGATCATGTTGAAGTTCAAGATCACCATGATCTTTGATTGGTTGGCTTTGATCATCTAATACTTGATTGTCATGATGACTTTCAACTTTACCAACCCAAGGTTTAAGAATATAGGCTGACATCATAGGCGTCAGTAAGCGTGCCACCAAGAGTGAGGCAAAAATAGCCAAAGCCGCTGTCCAGCCAAATTGCACAAAGAATTTACCTGCAATACCACTCATAAAGGCAGTGGGTAAGAACACTGCAATCAAGGTGAAAGTGGTGGCAATCACGGCTAAACCAATTTCATCGGCTGCCTCCATGGCCGCTTCATAAGGTGTTTTCCCCATTCGAAGATGCCGGATGATATTTTCAATTTCTACAATGGCATCATCAACCAGTATTCCCACAACCAACGACATGGCTAACAGTGTGACAATATTTAAAGTAAAACCTAAGTAATACATGCCAATTAGGGCAGGTAGAATGGACAAAGGCAGGGCAGTTGCCGCAATGATCGTGGCACGCCAATCTCGTAAAAACAGCCAAACCACTAAGATTGCAAGAAGTGCGCCTTCATATAGCAAGGACATTGAGCCTTTATAGTTATCAACCACAGGATTTACAAAGTTAAATGCTTCAGTGATTTTAATATCGGGATGCGCCGCTTTTAATGTTTCAAGTGCCTCTTTTACTCCGATTTCAACATCAACTTCACTTGCACCCTTACTGCGGGTAATTTCAAAGCCAATCACAGGGTGGCCATTTAACAGTGCAGCAGAACGTCGTTCAGCAATGCCGTCGCGAATGTTGGCAACTTGATCCAGCCGAATATGGCGACCATCACTCAAGGCAATATCCATTGCTGCAATTTCAGCAGCAGTTTTTACTGTGGCAATGGTACGAATAGACTGTTCACTGCCGCCTATTTTGGTTTGTCCGCCAGATGCATCTTGTTGAACAAGGCGTAATTGTCGGGTGATGTCTGTTGCTGTGGCATTTAATGCTAAGAGTTTTTCAGGATCTAATTCAACATCAACTTGACGCGTGACGCCGCCTACACGAGAAACCGCACCAACGCCTTTGACTTTTAACATTGCACGTGCAACATCGTAATCCACAAACCAAGACAACGCTTCCTCATCCATACGAGGGGACTGAATGGTATAGGTGAGAATTGGTGAACCTGAAAGATTGATTTTACTGACAATTGGATCACGAAGATCTGCAGGTAAATCTGAACGTACTTGTGAAACCGCATTACGGACATCATCAACAGCTTCTTGCAGTGGTTTTTCCAGTTGAAACTCTGCAGTTACGGTGACTACACCATCTTGGATATTGGTATATTGATTTTTAAGTCCCTGTAAAGTTGCAATCGAGTTCTCAATTTTACGTGCAACTTCTGTTTCCAGTTGCGGCGGTGCTGCACCGGGTAAAGCCGCTGTGACCGTGACCATTGGTAATTCAATATCGGGAAATTGTTGTATTTTCATCCAATGAAAACACATCAAACCCGCTAAACCAAGCATGATAAAAAGCAAGATACCGGGAATCGGATTTTTAATCGACCAAGCGGAGAAATTCATGTTATTTCTCCTGCGTGCTAACGAGTTGTTTGGTCAATGGTGTATCTGGAATGGCATGACCACGTTTGATTAAATCACCATCTGACAAGAATCCTGTTCCAGAGGCAACCAGTTGAGTGTTTGCTGCTAAATCAACAATTTCAACACGATCATTTAAACGTCGACCAAGTGTGACTTTCTGTTGAGTTACTCGATTATCTTTATTGACAATAAACACATAAGAGAAACCATCACGTAAAAGTACTGCGGTTTGAGGCACTGTTAGTGCTGGCTTTTCGCCTAGATCAAACTCACCTTTGACAAACATACCCATACGAACAGCATCAGTGGTAGGTATATCCACATAGACCAAACCATAACGTGTTTGCGGGTCAATGACTGGTGCAATCATCCGAACGCTACCTGAAACGGCTGAACGGCTAGGATCAGGTGAGGTGATATGCGCTGTCATGCCTTTTTTAAGTTTATATAAGTCTGTCGAGGTTACTTCGGCACGCCATTCCAAACGGTTATCACGGATCAAGCGGAACAGTTCTTGTCCCGTTTGTGCCAATGAGCCAACTGTTGCTGTACGTGCTGAAATAACACCATGATCGGGTGCAATCACTTGGGTTTGTGTTAAACGAAGCTGATTACTGTCAATTTGGGCTTTAGCAGCATCTAAACGGGCTTGTGCTGTACTTTGAGAAGTCAGGTATTTTGTCGCTTCTTGTTGTGAAATTGCACCAGTATTTTTGAGTTGTTGAATACGTTGATTATTGATACTGGCATCAGCTAGCACAGCTTTCGCTTCTGCATAATTGGCCTTTGCTGTCGCTAATTCAGCACGAATACTTTCACTGTTAATTTCAGCCAAAACTTGCCCACGTTGTACGCTATCTCCAACGTTGACATTGACTTTGGTAATTCGTTGCCCCGAAAGTTCACTGCCAATCACCACTTCTTGCCATGCAGCAATATTGCCATTAGCTGTAAAGTTTTGCTTCCAGTTGTGTAGCTCGGGTTGTATCACCGTTACAGTCAGTGCTGGTTTTGCGCTAGAAGCGGATGTTGCTGCATTTTCTGGAGAAGGCTGCTTTTTATTTGAAGATTTCCATCCAATAAAAGCTACGATTAGCACAATAAAAATAATTGCAATAATGATCCCGAGTTTTGAGTTTATGCGTTTTTTTTTCATTGGGTCATGCGATTTCATTTTAGTTTTTTAAATGAGTAGAGATAAGTTGAGTATCTCTAAAGGCTCTATGTTTGGTCAAGTTGCAATACAGTGCTTAATGTGATTTTTTGAAAGTTAAGCGGTTAAATTTTGCTATCGAGAGGTCGTTGAACTTAGTAACATTTATTGTTTTAAAACCCTGATTATTAGATCACTTGAATCAATAAAATTATTTATATGTTTTTAATATAGAAACCATCAAGATCAGCATAATTTTGTATAAAAACTACAAGACTACGCTCAATTTATAATATTTTTTAATAAATAAATACCATGAGATATTTTTTTTTTATTTAAAAAAACATGCTTATAAAATGAGAAAGTAAGTTTAAGTAAGAGTGATTATCATTTAATATGGCGGCTTAATTTAGATGACTGTTTTAGAGCCTCCTATGCGAAAAATTAAACCCTTAATTGTGATGATGGCAGTGGCGACAAGTGCTGCAATTGCGCATGCTGAACAACAAGATGCTTCATTGTCTCAGTCGAGCAATGGTAATGCAAAACAACTGAGTACGATTACAGTAGTCGCGAGTGCAGATGCATCAGCAGAGGGTTTAATGCCAGCATTTGCTGGAGGACAGGTGGCTTCTGGTGGTAAAGTTGGGATATTTGGCAATCAGAAAAATATAGATACACCGTTTAATCTAACCAGCTATACCAATCAATATATTCAAGAGCGACAAGCAAAAAGTGTTGGGGATGTTTTAAAAGCGGATCCAAGTGTTCGTGTCGGACGTGGTTTTGGTAATTTCCAAGAAAATTATTATATTCGTGGCTTTAACTTGGGCTCAGACGACACAGCCTATAATGGCTTATATTCAATTTTACCACGTCAGTATATTCCTGCAGAGCTGTTTGAACGTGTTGAAGTATTAAAAGGGGCATCCTCATTTTTAAATGGAGCAATGCCAAGTAATGGTGGGATTGGTGGTGCAATTAACTTATTGCCGAAACGTGCAAGTAACGAACCACTTAATCGTGTCACAGTAGGTACGGACTTCAATGGCGGTTATATTGCCAATGATATTTCTCGCCGTTTTGGTGAAGATCAACAATTCGGCGTACGAGTAAACACAGCATATCATGGCGGTGATACTGCTGTTGATAATGAAGAAGCATCTTTAGGCTTAGCTTCTATAGGTTTGGATTACCGTGGTGATCGTTTACGTCTTTCTGGCGATATGGGTTATGTGAATAATCGTTTAAAAGCGACTCGTCCAAACGTGACTTTAGGCGCGGGTATTACCGAGATTCCGAAAGCAATTGATGGCTCAGATAACTTTGCACAAAAATGGACGTATTCAAATGAAGAGGATGTCTTCGGAAGTTATCGTGCTGAATATGATTTAGCAGATAATTTAACAGCTTATGCTGCTTATGGTTTTCGACATGGCGAAGAGCAAAACAGTTTAGCAAATATGACATTGACCAATCAGACAACAGGCGCGGGAACCATTTATCGATTTGACAATGCGCGTGTAGATATGGTCAATACTGGTGAAGTTGGTGTGCGTAGTAAAGTAAACACAGGTTCAATTGAACATAATTTAGTGCTATCTGCATCGGCATTTCAACAGAACACCCGCAATGCTTATGTGATGGACTATAAAAATACATTAGCCAACAATATCTATAATCCAATCCAGTATGATCAACCTGCTTATTCACAAAATGCGTTGTTTGGGAATAACTTAGATACACCTAAATTAACGACTCGGACGCGTTTAAGAAGTATTGCCATTGGCGATAACCTCAAAGCTTTAGATGATAAATTAACAGTCATGCTCGGTGGACGTTATCAAACCATCATGCAAGAAAATTATAATTATGGAACTTCAATTAAATCAGGTGGGTATGATGAAAGTAAGTTTACCCCTGCTTTGGGGCTAAGTTATAAAATTCTGCCTGAAGTTTCGGTTTATGCAAATTATATTGAATCTTTAGCTAAAGGTTTGAGTAATACCAATTCAACGACGAAAGAAACTACAACACTCAAACCATTCGTTGCTAAACAAAAAGAAATTGGTGCCAAATATGAAAATGATCAGTTTGGCGCAAGCCTAAGTTTGTTTGATATCGATAAACAACGTGCAGTACTTGAAAACAGTGTTTTTAGTGATGCGGGTAAATATGTACATCGTGGTGTTGAACTCAATACTTTTGGTCAATTGACGGATTCTTTAAAAGTGTTGGGTGGTGCAACTTGGATTGATGCAAAGCAAAAAAATACAGGTAATGCTAACTACGATAATAAAAAGGAAGTGGGTGTTGCAGAATTTCAAGCAAATGTTGGTGCTGATTGGAAATTGCCAACAGTCCAAGATGTGTCTTTAAATGCTCAAGTTACTTATACAGGTTCGACTTATGCAAGTTTAAACAATAAATTGAAAGTTGGTGATTGGACGACTTTAGATCTTGGCGCGACGTATAAAACTCAGTTGGGGCAGACACCGACAACTTTTAATTTCCGTGTAAATAATGTCTTCGATAAAAACTATTGGTCATCAGTTGGTCTATTCGACAACATCAATAGTAGCTCCAATACCGAGAACGGCTATTTGGTTGCTGGGCAACCTCGTACATTCATGTTAAGTGCGGCATTTGATTTTTAAACACCATAAAAAAATGCCCCAAATTTGGGGCATTTTTTATAACAGTATATTTTTATAAAATGGTTTTTAGACGTTGAATCACTTGCTCACATTGAGCAATATCTGCGACCAATGCCATACGAACATGACCTTCACCAGGATTGCCTTGTTCAGTATCACGAGACAAATAACGCCCTGGTAAAACTTTAATGTTGGCTTTTTCCATTAACATTTTGGCAAAGTTTTCATCATGATCGACTTTTAACCAATAATAGAAGCCTGCATCAGGCTTTTGTAATGGTAAAAGATGACCGAGTTCATTTTGGAACAAATCAAATTTGGCACGATACAGTCTGCGATTTTCTTCAACATGTGTTTCATCGTTCCAAGCAACAATTGAAGCCAATTGATGTTGGACTGGCATTGCAGCGCCGTGATAAGTGCGGAATTTTAAATAAGGTTTAAGTAAGTTTGCATCCCCAGCAACAAAACCTGAGCGCATACCCGGTAGGTTTGAACGCTTAGACAGAGAATGAAATACGATACAATTTTTATAGTCGTCACGACCTAATTCAGCACAGACTTCCAATAAGCCGATCGGTGCTTCATCAAACCATAATTCTGAGTAACATTCATCAGACGCAATCACAAAGTCATATTGGTCAGAAAGTGCAATTAGCTTTTTAAATTGTGCTTTTGAAAGTACCGCACCAGTAGGATTTCCCGGCGTACAAACAAACAAAAGCGCGGTTTTTTCCCAAACTTCAGCAGGTACAGCATCAAAATCACCGAGGTAATTGTTGTCTTCGGTACAGTTGACAAAGTATGGCTTTGCACCAGCTAAAAGAGTCGCACCTTCATAAATCTGATAGAACGGATTAGGCATTACCACATAAGGTGCGTCATCACGATTAATCAAGGCTTGTACAAAGGAGAAAATCCCTTCACGTGTACCTGTAACTGGAAGAACATGATCTTCCGCACTGATCGCATTCAGTTTAAAACGACGGGTTAGCCACTGAGCAATACTTTCACGAAGTTCAGGTAAACCTTTACTGTTTGGATAAGTTGAAAGGTGCTGAAAATTATCAATGATCGCTTGCTTCACAAACTCAGGAGCAGGATGCTTTGGTTCTCCAATTGAAAGTGGGATCAAAGGTAAATCTGCAGGTTTTACATCCTTAAAAAGCTGGCTTAACTTTTCAAATGGATAAGGATGTAATAAAGACAAACTAGAGTTCATGAAACAATTACCACGATAGAAAGTAAGATTAATGTTGCCCACAGATTTGATTGGATGCTTCATCTAATGCCGCTTTTAATTTTGCGGTAAAGACTTCAGCCTCAGCTTCAGTGAGGGGGGTGCCATCTTTTTTGGTGACAAAGAAAATATCTTCTGCTTTTTCACCCAGCGTGGCGATTCTAGCAGAATGTATGTCTAAACCTTGCATCATAAATAAACCACCAACGCGTGCAAGTAAGCCCGGTTGGTCAAGGGTAGAGATTTCTACCATATTTTGCTGCAAAGCTTCGTTAAGTGTTACATCCACGGTATTTTCAATATCGAAGTGGCGAAGTTGACGTGGAATACGACGTTGCATCAAACCCGGATATTTATCTGATTCGCTTAAGGCTTTAATTAACGCCTGTTTGACTGTTTCTTCACGTTCAGGATCGGTTAATAAGGTACCGAAACGATCCAAGACCACATAAGTATCTAAACTAAAGGCTTTGGTTGCAGTGATAATCCGTGCATCTTGGACATCCAGATTCATACGATCCAAAATTGCCACTGTAGTGGCAAACAGATTGGGTTGGTCTTGAGTATAAATAAAGATCTGTACAGCATCTTGTGCTGCTTTACGGTGTGCACGCATGAGCACCAATGGTGCAGGGTTGTCGCCGTGTTGCAAAATGGCGCGAGTATGCCATGCAATTTCATCTGCGGATTCTTTAAGGAAGTATTCGTCCCCAAGCTCTTGCCAAACCTTTTCAACTTGATCGAGTGGAAACTCATCCACCAAGACTTCGCTTGCAGAGAATTTGGTATCTTCAATCAGCATTTGATAATCAACAGGTCGACCCAAACCAGAACGAATTACATCACGCGCATGGGTATAGAGTTGACGCATCAAAGAAGAGCGCCATGTATTCCAAAGTTTTGGATTGGTGGCATTGATATCGGCAACTGTCAGCGTATAGAGATAATCTAAATGCTCCATATCACCAAGCTTTTCAGCAAACTCTTTCACCACATCTGGGTCAGAAATATCTTTTTTCTGTGCGGTCATCGACATCAGTAAATGATTTTGGATGAGCCAAGCAACCAGATTACATTCGCGCTCAGTAAAACCATGCGCAAGACAGAATTCAATTGCATCTTCAGCGCCAAGTTCACTGTGATCTCCACCACGGCCTTTGGCAATATCATGGAATAATGCAGCAAGGAATACGATGTCACGGCGGACTAAGCGTTGAAATACAGAACTGACAACAGGATAATCTTTGGCAAAGCCAGGTTCTTTAAAACGATTTAAATTACGAATTAACAGTAAGGTATGTGCATCGACGGTATAAATATGGAACAAGTCATATTGCATCAGTCCCATGATTTGCCCAAATGCAGGAATATAATTTCCTAATACACCATAACGTTTCATTGCCACCATGGTTTCATATAAACGATATGGAGAGCGAATGATCGCCATGAATAATGCTTGATGGGTCGGATTATCACGAAATGCTTGATCAATACGTTTTGCCGCTAAAGTCAAAAGACGCAATGTACGTGCACGAATACCCTCGATTTCAGGGCGATTCGCCAAGATATAAAAAATCTCTAAAATAGCGCTTGGATTTTCGGAAAAGGTTTTATGTTGTTGAACGGCAAGCTTGCCATCAACCAATTTAAAATGTTCGTTAATATTTTCGATTTTACGTTCATAGTCGGGTAAGCGTGGGGTAATCACCGATTCATTAAAATAAGCCAATAACATTTCATTTAAGGTCGAAACCTGTTGCGCGGTACGATAATAACGCTTCATGAACTGTTCAATTGGATAATTTGGATGATGATCATCTTCTCGTGTATAGCCAAATTTAGCTGCAATATCACGTTGATAATCAAACAATAGGCGATTTTCATCACGTTTGGTTAAACGGTGTAAATGATGGCGGATTTCCCAAAGAAAGTTTTCAGCTTCTTCTAGGACGCCCAATTCAAATTCAGAAATAAAACCCAAATGAACCAAGTCGTAAATACGATTGACCCGAAAATGCCGTTTGGCAATCCAGCCAATTTGGTTAATGTCCCGAATACCACCGGGTGCATTTTTAATATCGGGTTCTAAATTGCTTTCAGTATTGTTATGTTGCGCATAACGTTGTGCTTGTTCATCCATCTTGGCATCAAAGAAAGTCTTATCTGTCCAAGTTTGGGAAACGACACGACGAGGCCATCTTGCCAGATGTTGATTGCCAATAATTAATCGCGCTTCAATCAGCGAGGTTGCCACAGTGAGATCATTGGTGGCTTGTTCAAAACAGCTTCGGATGGTACGTACACTGACACCCGGTTTAAAATTCCCCACATCCCAAAGTGTAGAAATAAATTGCGTCACTGTTTGTTCTTGTTCAGGAGAAAGATCTTCTTCTGAAAGAATCATGATGTCGACATCGGAATAGGGCAACATTTCGCGTCGCCCATAGCCACCAACAGCAAATAAACCGAGATCTGTTTGATCTAGCCCCGAATGCTTCCAGAGAAACATAAGGGCTTCATCTACCACATTTGAACGGGTACGGACAATTTCGCGTATTGTTGTACCATGATCATAGGCCTCATTTAACTGTTGCTCAACATCGCTACGCCATTGATTAATCGCTTTAATGTCATGTATATCAGTTACATATTCCAACAGAGGAGAGGTGTTGATCATGGATGTCTTGTCCGCAAATATATTGGCTAGTTGTTTAAATGAACAGTGACTTTTGCAGCCGTTTCTTGTGCAAGTTCACGTGCTTGGTCTGTTGTTTCAGCACGTGCTGTTGCCACGCCCATACGACGACGTTTAAATCCTTCAGGTTTACCGAACAGGCGTAAGTCTGTCGCAGGATTTTGCAAAGCAAGATTTAAGCCAGCGTATGAAAGATTCTTTGCATCTACACCTGCATAGATTACAGCACTTGCAGCAATACTATGTCGTTCAGTATTGACAGGTAAACCCAAAATCGCACGTGCATGTAATTCAAATTCGCTTTGGAATTGTGATGCAAGTGTGACTAAGCCTGTATCGTGTGGACGCGGTGATACTTCACTAAACCATACTTTATCACCTTTTACAAACAGTTCTACCCCAAAAATCCCACAGCCACCAAGTGCTACAGTGACTTTATTGGCAATGCGTTTGGCTTCATTTAAAGCTGCTTCTGTCATTGCTTGGGGCTGCCAACTTTCTACATAGTCGCCTGAATCTTGACGATGCCCAATTGGGTCACAATAAGCGGTTTCAATTTCACCTGTTTCTGGATTTTTCGAACGTACAGTGAGTAAGGTGATTTCAAAATCAAAGTCAATTTGTGACTCAACGATGACTGTACCTTGATTTACCCGACCACCAGTTTGAGCATATTCCCAAGCTGCATCTACTTCAGCATATTCTTTGACACGAGATTGCCCCTTACCAGAGGAAGACATTACAGGTTTAACAAAGTTCGGATAACCAATGTCATCACATGCAGAACGGAAGCTTTCTAATGTATTGGCAAAACGGTAAGCGGAAGTGGGTAAACCAAGTTCTTCCGCCGCTAAACGACGAATCCCTTCACGGTTCATGGTTAAATTCACTGCTTTTGCCGAAGGGATCACGGTTGCAATATTTTGTTGTTCGATTTCGACTAATACTTGAGTAGCAATCGCTTCAATTTCTGGAACAATAAGATTGGGTTTTACTTTTTCAATTAAAGCTTTTAATTCTGTTGCATCTGCCATGTTTAAGGCATAAGAGAAATGAGCAACTTGCATGGCAGGTGCGTTTTCGTAGCGGTCTGCCGCGTGAACTTCAACACCAAGTCGTTGTAATGAAATCACCACTTCTTTACCAAGCTCTCCTGAACCTAACAGTAAAACTTTAAATGCAGATGATTGAAGTGGGGTACCAATAGTAACGCTCATGCTATTCTTCCATGCTTGTCTTATGGACTGTTAGCATAGCAGAACTCAGGCGTGTGTTAAGGGCTGATTGACATAAAATAATGATATTGTCTAACAGATTTTTTTATAAAGTTTTTAGCTTATAGGCGGTTTGCCACTACAAATGAAGTGGCTTTGAATTTGCGCAAGGAAACTGATCAAGAATTTTTAATTAATTCTTTTTACGAACCAACAGAATCAACGCAATGAGGCAGATCAGTAGTTCTACAAAAAACGACCAATGCAGAATAAAGTTTAGCCACCACGGCTGATAACGTGAGCTGACTTCAAAAAACACATAGGGTTGATCAATAAACGGTGCAAAAAGCCAAACATCACCTACAAAAGTATCCAAGCCGATATGTAGCAGGGCAGCACCCGAAAAAAGACTGATCATCAGGGCAGGTTTAGCCGTGTATTTTGAATGGATAAAATAAAATAAAGCGATTAGAAAGATTGGAATCCAAAATGAAAACCAATGTAAAAAATACTTATGATGATGTACCGATCTATGATCGAATAAATAGAAATAGAATAGATCAATATCAGGAAAAACTGCACCAAGCATAATCAGCGTAAAAAAAGCTTTATTGGTGATTTTTGTCTGTTTAAATTTCTTGAGTAAAAGTTTAGCCAGTATATAGCCAGAAGGTAAGTGTGCGATAAACATATCAAGTTGCGTATTTTAAATATTTTATTTGAAAGCAATCATACACAACTAATTAATTCACATGGTTTTTTATTGTAAATTAATTAGATGAAAGCATTTTAAATCCGAAAGACTTTAAATTTACACGCTGATCTGCTGATGCATTAAAATATGCTTTAATCAACAAAACTACAGATAGGTATAGACCAAGCCATAGGCCAATGCTGCTGTGAGTGTCGCCAAAACGATTCTTTTAAATTTAAAATACAATCCTGTGAGTACAAGAAAGCCCACCAACATCGCAAAACTTTTATTTGGAGTTTCGATCAATGGTGGAAGAGTGGCGACAATTAACATTGAACTGATTGCTGCAATTCCAATACTGCCTAATGCAATTTTTAACCATGTTGCGCCACGAGTTTGTGTGTGTTGTTGGCTTTTTTGCAGCAGATAGAATGGACCAAAGCGTGAAGCAAAATTTGCAATACCGACCAATATCCCCACCAAGATAATCTGTAAATCCATTTTAAATACTCACTTCATCAGTTTGCTTTAAAACATAATGTTTAAATAATCCCGCTAAAATCCCAGATGCAATCCCAATAAAAATTGCTGCCGACATGTTGATAAAATAACAGGCCAATGCGGAAACCACTAAAGATACGGCAACCACAAAAGTATGTTTTTTCTCAAAGGCTGCTAGTAAGAAGCTTAAGAACAATGCAGGTAACAAGAAGTCTAAAGCGGCTTGTAAAAATTGCGGCAAGTCGCTGACTTGATCTGCAAATAAACCACCTAAAAAGGAACCTAAGGCCCATGACATCCAGCTAAACAAGCTGAGTCCTAACATCCAAGACTCTGACCATTCCTGACGACGTTGGGAAAGTTTAATCATTCCAGCCGCAAAAACTTCATCGGTTAAACCCCATGCCCATACTGCGGTCTTTTTTAGGTTTAAACGGTCTTGAATCAGGTTTTGTAAGGCTGGCCCATAAAGTACATGGCGAATATCCAGTGCAATGACTGTAAGTGCTGTCATCCAAATAGATGTGCCACTGCCCAATAATGCAACCACAAGAAATTGGCTAGCACCAGCGTACATAGAGCAAGATAGAAATAAGGCTTCCCATGCACTAAAACCAAATTGGGTCGCGGATACACCAAAGGCAAAAGATACAGGCAGATAAGTAAAGATGATGGCTTGACTGTCTTTAGCGCCTTGCCAAAAGCCAGCAGTTTGGACTGAGGGATTGTGCTCTGACACAGGACACCTAAAACGAGAGTAAAACAAAAGGTAAAATCAAGATTGTGTATTCTACCCGAATTTACTAGCATAGTAGCGAAATGTTTATTTAGGCGTAACTTTATGTTCGCAAATCAGTCGAAATTATTATTGAGTATGACCTTGGTGTTAGGTGTTTTAGGTTTACAAGCATGTGGTAATTCATCTTCTGAACCTAAAGAAAAAGTTGAAATTAAAGCTGCGCCAAAACTAACCAATGATGCGACAACCTATGCCAATGAAGCATGGAAACTGATTAATCAGGTGGAACCCTTTGTCTACCGTAAGCAATTGAATTTGATTGAAGACAATGTACGTAAACCTTTACGGAAATTAAGTACCGACTGGCGTATCAATGTCAAAATGACCGATTCAGTGACAGAAGGTAAATACGCTTTGTGTCGTAAAGCCATGACCAGTTTAGATACTTGGGCAAGATCGACATTGGAAAAAGATGGTGAAATGCAAAAAAATCAAGCGCAATATGAACGTGATAAAGCCCAGTGCAAAGATGCTATTGAAAATCCAAGTTTAGGCAATACCAAAGCAAATAATAATATTTTTTAAATGATTTTAGAAAAAATGGCGCAAATATGCGCCATTTTTTTATTGATACAGATCTATGTTCAGTACGTTCAGTGTTACTTAAGGTTTTAATGGATTGGTTGATGCAGTTTTCACGGCCTTGTCTTTAGCAGCAGTTGATTTTGCAGCGGCGTCATTTTTCACTGCTTTGGTTGTTGCTTCAGCTTTTGCTTTGCTTGCAGCAGTTTCAGTTTTTAGCTTTGTCGCTGCTTCTTTCGGTTTCGCTTCAACAGCTTTTGTTGCAGCTACACTTTTGTCTTTTGCTTGCGTTGCATCAGCTTTGGCTTTTGTACTTGCAGCCGTTGCTTTTTGAGTCGCTTGAGCTGCAGGATTTGCCGCAACACATTTGCCGCCTTTATGGTTTGGACCTGTACCACCAACCAATGTTGTACCTTTAGGACATGCAAATGCAGAAGCGCTAAGTACAGTGAATAATCCCGCTGTGAGCAATGTTGTGATTTTTTTCATTTATTTCAACTTTTATTGAGATGGCATTAGCGCCTCGCTAAAATATAATTGTATTTTTCACAAAGTAGAATAAATAATTTGTATATTTTATTTATAAAATGATTATATATTCCAGCCGTTTAAGGTGAATTTAATATTTGTCTAAAAGTGGAAAAGTGATGAGTTAAATTAGAGTTGGCCTAGTGAGTGAGCAATAGAATGTAATTGATTGATATCTAATATTTCTATTTTTTTAAAGGCAATTTTTAAAACACCTTGTTGTTCGAGTAAATGTAATTCTTGGTTAATGGTCTGACGTGAGCATTTGAGCAGCAATGCCAATTGTTCTTGAGATAAATGAATGATGTTATTTTCAATACAGATATGATTGCCATAGCCGTTTAAGATAAACATCAAACGCTGAGCTAATCGTTGTCGTATATGCTGGGTTTGAATTGAAATGAGTTCTAAAAAAGCAAAGCGAAGTTTTTGACTGGTCAATTGGGCGATATGGAACCAATATTGCGGATAGTCATTTAAAATTTTCTGAATCGCTTGGCTGGGGAGATGTAAAATTAAACATTTTCCAACAGCAATGGCATCATGAGAACGTGGTTGCTGATCCACCAAAGAAATTTCTCCAAACCACATAATCGGTTCTGCAATAGCAGCAACGGATTCATTTCCTTCAATATCAATATAGCCTAAGCGTACCCGACCATCTAAGACCGCATAGATGCCATTAAATAGATCGCCTGATCTGAAAATCGCTTGATCACGCTCAAATTTTTGATAATGGGCTTGTTGTTGAATCAATTGTTGAAAAGGAATAGGCAGTTGTGAATACCATAAATTCTTTGATAATAATTCAAGGTCCGTTGAATTCAGCACAATATGTCCTTTTATGTATCATTGTTAATCTTTGCTTTGATTTTCAAATATATCTAACAGCATAGTCAGTAGGATAGAAAGTTCCTTAGATAAAATCAGTAGCGATAAGCACTGAGTAGAACCATTTACAATCCTCCTTTAAGGGCAGCAATTTAGCGTGAATATGACAGAGTCACTGGCCATAATGTATCAATAAATTTATTGTGAAAGCTGTTGTTATTTACTTCTTTGCAAATTTAAATGAAAAATCAATTCAACTTGTCAGCTAGACGACAACTTTTATCTTAGCGCTTTTATATAGTGAAATGAAGAGATTAACAAGGACGCTGAAAATGAACAGATTAGAGCAACTTCTTAGCCAGTACGCAGCTTATCATTTAGACCATAAAAATGTATTTACGCATTTTATTGGTATTCCGATGATCGTATTTTCAATCATGTGTCTAATGGCTAGAGCAGGGGTGATGCTTTCAGGTTTTGAAATCACTTTGGCATTGATTCTATTGGTTTTAAGTATGATTTATTATTTTAGTCTGGATAAATTATTCGGCTTTTTAATGTTGCTTATTTATGCAGTAGCCTATCCATTTGCCTATAAAATTGCTCAATTAGGCATGGGAACTTGGCTAAGTATCAGCATTGGTACTTTTGTTGTAGGATGGGTATTCCAATTTGTAGGGCATTTTTATGAAAAGAAAAAACCTGCATTTGTTGATGATTTAGTCGGTTTAGCGATTGGTCCATTATTTGTCTTAGCTGAGTTTGTATTCTTGCTGGGTTTTCGTAAAGATTTACAAGAAAAAATGCTAGTAGAAGCCAGAAAGCAACGTACTGCAATGGATGAAAAATCATTAGACGGTTTACACGCGAAATAATTTGAAAGATAAAGAATCTAGTTTATGATAAAACCCTTTAAGTCAGTAATTTAAACTGACTTAAAGGGTATCGACTTCTATATTTTTGTTTGTTTTAGAATAAGAATTCTTTGATAAATATCACTAAACCAAAGAAAAAAATGGCGCAACCAATATAAAATTTTATTTTTTTAATCAGTGAAGAATTGAACATTGGCATCGTCATATGGTCTGTATAGTATTTCATTGGATTGCTTCTAAATAACGGCGATTCACTTCTTCCCAATTCACAACATTATAAAATGCCGCAATATATTCGGGACGACGGTTTTGGTATTTTAAATAATAAGCATGTTCCCAGACATCTAAAGCCAGAATCGGGATATTGCCATTCATCAGTGGTGAATCTTGATTGGCACTGCTTTCTACGATGACTTTCTTTTCAGGGGTTACGCTTAACCATGCCCAGCCACTACCAAATCGTGTCAGTGCTGCTTTAGTAAAGGCTTCTTTAAAGTTTTCAAAACCTCCAATATCTCTGTCAATTGCTTCAGCGATTTGTTTAATTGGCTCTCCACCACCTTGAGGGCTCATTACTGTCCAGAATAAAGAGTGGTTAGCATGCCCACCACCATTATTAATTACGCTATTTTTAAGATCAGCAGGAACTTCATTCACTTTTGAAACCAGTTCTTCAATCGACAACTTTTCCCATGCTGTGCCTTCAACTGTGGCATTGATATTATTGATATAGGTTTGATGGTGCTTGGTATGGTGGATTTCCATTGTTTTTGTATCAATATTAGGTTCAAGTGCATCGTATGCATAAGGCAGTTGTGGAAGCGAGTAAGCCATGAATCAATCCTGTGATGTTAAGTATAGTGATAATGCTAATAATTATCATTATTATATATGAGCATCAAAAGTGCAACCTACTTAACTTTATTATTGTGTAGCTGATTTCAAAATAGAAATGATCAATTGAGGCAGGGGCTTAGCGATAGACGCTTGGCGCGTTTTAAGATGTAAATAAATATCGCGTATATTTACTGGAATATTATAATTTTAAATGTTGATATTTTTTTATAAAAACCTGAATACGTGTTTCATTAAAAAGCGGAGTTAAAATTAGATCGATAAGGCGAATGGTCAAAGTGATCCGCAAATTAATCAACAGATCGTTGAATCTAGATTTAGAAAACAAGTTTTAAATATTCGTCAGACATTTATAAACCAAACTAAAACCAGTGAAAGATTCTATGATGAAAAAAAACAGGTTGAAGAAGTCTTCAACCTGTCTCATCAAAGCATGAGATCTGCTTATACGTTAAAACGGAAGTGCAAGACATCACCATCTTGAACGATGTAAGTTTTACCTTCTAAACGCCATTTTCCTGCTTCTTTAGCGCCGTTTTCACCGTTGTATTGGATGAAATCGTCATAAGCGATACATTCTGCACGAATAAAGCCTTTCTCAAAGTCAGTGTGGATTACACCCGCAGCTTGAGGTGCAGTTGCACCCACTTTTACAGTCCAAGCACGTACTTCTTGAACACCTGCTGTAAAGTAAGTTTGTAAGCCAAGTAAGCTATAACCTGCACGAATCACCACATTTAGACCTGGTTCTTCCATGCCTAATGCTTCAAGGAATTCAGCACGATCTTCATCATCCAACAATGAAATTTCAGCTTCGATTTGGTTGCAAAGCGGAACAACGATTGCATTTTCCTCAGCAGCTAACTTTTTCACAGCTTCAAGGTGTGGGTTATTTTCAAAACCATCTTCTGCAACGTTTGCGATATACATGGTCGGTTTTAATGTCATTAAACCAAAACCACGCACAAGTTTACGTTCATCATCATCTAAATCAGCCGCACGAGCTGGCTTGCCTTCATCAAGTAAAGGTAGAATTTTTTCTAAAACTGCTTTTGTTGCAAGGGCTTCTTTATCACCGCTTTTTGCAGATTTTGCCAAACGGGTAACTGCTTTAGTTACAGTTTCCAAGTCAGCAAGTGCAAGTTCAGTATTAATCGTTGCAATATCATCTAATGGATCAATTTTACCATTTACATGAATTACGTTTTCATCTTCAAAACAACGTACAACGTGTGCAATTGCATCAGTTTCACGGATGTTTGCAAGGAATTGGTTACCCAAACCTTCGCCTTTAGATGCACCCGCAACTAAACCTGCAATATCTACAAATTCCATCGTAGTTGGAATAACACGTTGTGGTTTAACAATGGCTGTTAATTTGTCTAAACGTGGATCAGGTACAGGTACGATGCCTGTATTTGGTTCAATGGTACAGAATGGGAAGTTTTCCGCAGCAATAGCAGCTTTAGTCAATGCATTGAAAAGTGTAGATTTACCAACGTTCGGCAAGCCGACAATACCGCAATTAAAACCCATGAAATAACTCACAAAGTGTTATATAAAAATTGCGGATGATTTTACATGAAAGCCATGACAAAGTCAGGTCTACGACCTATAAGTTTTAAAATCAGATCATCTCAAATATATCAAGTGCTACATATTTGCCTGAGATCAGCACTTTTATTGAACAAAATGAGCATTCTAGGGGAGTGACAATTGATTTAGCATAATTTTTATAAGTGGATCAATTAAGTAAAGTTACTATCCTTCGTCTAACGACGACGTCCATGTCGCCCTACAGATGGGTAAGCCTTGTATCATTCAACAAGGCAAAAGCGAAATCTATTTTATTTATATTGATGCAAATGAAGTTAATTGGAAAAACTTAAATCTTCCGTTTATCCAACTGACTTGCCAAACTGTCACCAAATGCCTGAACGATCATGACCAAAGCCACCAAGACCACAATCACAGCAAACATCATTTGCATATCAAAGCGTTGATAACCATAACGGTAGGCAATATCACCTAAGCCACCAGCACCAATTGCACCCGCAATTGCAGAGGAGTTAATCATGGTGACAATTGTGACTGTAAAACCTGCCACAATGCCGGGTAACGCTTCAGGTAAAAGTACATGCCAAACGATTTGCTTACGGTTACAGCCCATCGCTTGTGCAGCTTCAATTAGACCTTGATCCACTTCACGTAAGCTAACTTCTGCAATACGGGCAAAGAAAGGTGTCGCGGCTAAAGTTAATGGAACAACAGCTGCCCAGACTCCGTAACTGGTTCCGACAATCCAACGGGTTAAAGGAATCAGCGCCACCATTAAAATCAAAAAGGGAACAGATCGGGTAATGTTGATCACCGTGCCTAATGCATGATTAATCTTTTTAGATGGATAAATCCCTTGTTCAGATGTATTGACCAAAATCACTGCCAAAGGTAAGCCAATCAAAAAGGCAACAATGGCAGATACGCCAACCATCAGTAAGGTATCTATGGTTCCGGTCAGCAACAAATCAATGAGTTGGTCTTGCATAGCCAAGTACCTCTATTTGCGCAATTTGATGTTTTAACCTTTCTTGTAAATTATGCAGGTCTAAATGGGTTTGTTCAGTACCGACAATCAGCGTTCCAATCAAATGGTTTTGGATATTGTCGATATGACTTTGATATAAATGTACGGATTTTTCAAAAACTTCAAAAAGTTCCACTAAATCAGGTGAGTTTTTCGGATCGGTTTCATAACGTAGTTTTAAAATACTATGGGTTGAATCTTGTTGTAGCTCTGTATGCACTGGAAAGGGCAAATCGAGTTGTTCTAGGTTTAACAATTCTTGTGTGATTTTCTGCTGAGGCTGTGAAAACACGGACCAGACTTGTCCTGACTCAACGATTTCACCATGTTCAATCACCACCACTTGATCGCAAATTTCACGAATCACTTGCATCTCATGGGTAATTAAAACAATGGTAATCCCCAATTCTCGATTGATTTTTTTCAGCAAGGATAACACCACTGAGGTACTTTCAGGATCAAGTGCAGACGTAGCTTCATCACATAATAAAATTTCAGGATGATGCACCAGCGCACGAGCAATACCAACACGTTGCTTTTGACCACCAGACAGCTGTGAAGGGTAGTTATGCGCTTTATTTCCCAATCCGACCAGTTCTAAAACATCGTTGACACGTGTTTCAATTTCAGCTTTATCGACATGGGCAATTTTTAAGGGCAAAGCCACATTGTCCCAAACTGTTTTGGCAGACATTAAATTAAAATGCTGAAAAATCATCCCGATTCTTTGACGTGTTTGAATCAATTCAGCATGACTGAGTTCAGCCAAATTTTGTTGATGAATATGAATACTGCCCTCAGAAATACCTTCTAAACCATTTAAGGTTCGAATTAAGGAAGATTTACCTGCGCCACTTTTACCGATGATGCCGAAAATCTTGCCTTGAGGAATATCTAAGTTGATATTTTTTAACGCATGGATCTGTTGATCTTGCCCATCATAGTATTTATTCAGATCACGAATTTTGATATGTGGGACTGAAAAATCAACATGCGAACCGAAACTCACCATTTCTATTCTCCTTATTTCCAGCCTGCAAACCACATATCTTTGCCGAAATCTTTATCTAAAATATCTCGAACTTGCTGTGAGTTTTGGAAAGCTTGAATAAATTTCTCTAACTTTTGATTTTTGTCTTGATAATCGGTACGTGTCACAAAAAGAATGGCGTACTTTTTATCAACGGGATCTAAAAACAGGGCACTATGCGGATCGGCTTTTTTTGCCATATTTAAGTAATGCGGAAAACCAAAAATCAGATCTGCATCATCATAAGCTAAAGCTGTTTGTGGACCTTCAACTTCTATAAACTTCAATTGTTTTGGGTTTGAAACAATATCTTGAAGTGTGGAAAGTTCATTGTTGATGTCTTTGATTTGAATTAGCCCTGCACGGTGTAGCAGGATCAAAGCACGCGCAGAGTTAACGGGGTCACTCGGGATGACAACACGAGCATTTTGAGGTAAGGCGGCTAAGGATTTATATTGTTTTGAATATAAACCGACATGGCTGCCGCTACCTATACCAAAAGCATGCAAATCGTAATTGGTTTGCTTAATAGCATTCTTTAAAAATACACTTTGTTGGAAAAAGTTAGCGTCAATGTCACGGTTTTGTACCGCAACATTGGGAGCTTGCCAATCTGAAAATTCGACCAGTTTGACATGGATACCATCTTTCTCTACTTCTTTGGCAACCGTTTGTAGTAATTCGGCATAAGGTGGGCTAATGCCAATCGTGAGTACATTATCCTTTTGTTGATTTTGTACATAACGATAGGCAAAAAGTCCTAATAATACGATGACAACAGCAAGACCAATCAGCAGGTTCTTGTTTTTGAGTTTGGAAACTTGGGACATGTGTTATTCCTTATTTCCAACCTGGGAACCATAAATTTTCACCAATATCATCATTTAAAGCCTGTTTGACCTTGTCTGAAGTTTGGTAAATTTTTACAAACTCTTTTAACTGTTTGGCTTTTTCTGGGTGCTTTTGCTCATAGTCATCTTTTACAACAAACAAGATGGCATAACGTGTATTGGTATTATCATCGAGTAATAATGCTTTGTTTGGATCAATGGTTTTTGCAAGACGTAAATAAAGTGGGTAGCTAAATACTAAATCAGCATCATCTACAGCACGCGCAGTTTGAGGTCCTTCAACTTCAATAAATTTAAAGTTTTTAGGATTTGAGCTAATGTCTTGTAAGTTTGATAAATGGTTATTCGGATCTTTCAAGGTGATGAGTTTAGCCTGTTGTAAAAGTAACAGTGCACGACCTTGGTTGACTGGGTCATTTGGAATTACTACACGTGCATTTTCAGGTACCGCCGCTAAAGAATCATATTTTTTAGAATATAAGCCCACATGAGTTGCAACACCTGTGGCAATCGGTTTCAGTTTAAAATCAGTTTCTTTTAACGCATTGCTTAAAAATGGTTGGTGTTGGAAATAGTTTGCATCAATATCACCATGATTTAGTGTGATATTCGGTGTGTTCCAGTCTGAAAATTCCACCAGTTTAATATGAATCCCTTGTTTCTTGGCTTCCTCTGCTGCAACTTGTAAAGGCTTGGCAAAGGGTGGGCTAATACCAATGGTGATTTCTTCTGAACCGGCTTTTTTATGTTGGTTCCAATAAAAAAGTCCTGCAATCACGGCAATAATGATCACGCCAAGCAAAATAAATTTATTCTTGGAGCCTGATTTTTTGGATGGATTACCATTTGCAGGTGAGTTTATTTGAGTCATGTGACACCCCTTAAAGTGAAATTATTCAATTCATCATGTTTGCTGATTAGGTTATTTAGGCAGTTTGCTTTTGCCGATCTGCCGTTTCGATGCTGTTGTTATAATTTGAGTTTTGACATCGAAAATCAGCAGCAGGGTGTTGTTGGGTTAAATGATCACCCTGTTTAAAGATTTTGTTGCGTAAAGAACCACTTTCATATTTGGTTTTAAATCTGCCACGTTGTTGCAGTTCAGGAATAACAAAATGAATAAAGTCATGATGTGATTCAGGCGCAACAGTACGCGTTAGGTTAAAGCCATCAATACCTGTTTCATCAATCAACTGAATTAATTTTTCAGCAATTGTTTCACCACTTCCAACAATCAGTGGATAACGACCACCGAGTTGATGCTGTGCTTTAAGATCGTTAGGCGTGATCTGGTTTTCCTTAAATTTATTATTGACTGAAGCAATACTATTGGTTTGTTGATATGGGATGGCCTCATCATCAGCATATTTGGATAGGTCGATACCGACTGAACTTGAGAAATGTGCTAAACCTGCTTCTGGACTTGCATAGCGGGCATATTCAGCTAATTTCTCTTGAGCTAATTCATCTGTTTCTGCTGTAACCACTGTGATTCCCACAAAGATTTTAATATCTTCTGGATTACGGCCTTGCTGCACAGCCAATTCTCGAATCTTATCCACTTGTTGTTTGATTTTTGCAGGTTGATCACCTCCAATAAAGACACATTCCGCATGACGTGTGGAGAATGCTAAACCGCGTGGTGAAGCGCCTGCTTGAAAGAGCACAGGGGTGCGCTGTGGTGAAGGTGAGACTTGGAAAACACCTTGGCTTTGATAAAAGCGCCCTTGATGGTTAATTTGATGAACTTTTTTAGGATCAGTAAAAATACGCTTTTGCTTATCTTTTTGTACTGCATCATTTTCCCAAGAACCTTCCCAAAACTTATAGCAAAGCTCTAAAAACTCTTCAGCTTGTTCATAACGTAAGTCATGATCTTTTAAACCTTTTTGCCCAATCAAGCGTTCAGCACTGTCCAAATACCCCGTCACAATATTCCAGCCAATCCGACCTTGTGTCAGATGATCTAAACTCGCAAAGCGCCGTGCGAATTGGTACGGTGTTTCATAACTAAGGTTTACGGTCACACCAAAACCTAGGTTTTGGGTTACCGCTGCCATTGCGGAAATCAGGGTAGATGGGTCATGACTCGGCAGTTGAATCGACTCTTTTAAGGTTAAATCTATACCATTCTGATAAACATCATAAACACCGGTAATGTCTGCGATAAACAACCCATCAAATAAACCTTGCTCCAAGGTCTTAGCGAGATCAGTCCAGTAATTGAGCTCATTAAAACGATGAGATTCATCACGCGGATGGGTCCATAAGCCGTGATTGATATGGCCGACACTGTTCATGTCAAAAGCATTGAGTAAGATTTGTTTTTTAGGTACTGTATGTTGAGATGTATTTGTCATTACAATGTCCCTCTGCGTGGTGGAAGGATGTTGTTTAATACATAGTTTCCAATAAAATAATATTTCCAGCGTGATGCATCATGCAGTGTATGTACCCGTACATTGCGCCAATGTCGATCTAAACCATCGGCACGTTGACTACCACGACTTCCAGCCAACTCGATCAATTTTGAAGACGCTTTTAATGCTGTTTCTGTACTGTGTGCACGGACTTTAGCCACATCTAGTGAGGCTTTGGCAATATTTTCAACTGTAGGTTGTGGTTTTGCTGCATCAATAGATTGAGCAGCTTGTTTTAATAAAACCTCACTTGCTCTTACATCAGCAGCAACACGGCCTAATTCATAAATGGTCAGTGGATCTTGGTCTGCACGTTCTACATTGGCATCAATCCATGCGCGTGCTTTTTTAACCCGTTCTATTGTTTCTTCAAATGCTGCACGCGCAATGCCTGTTTCAATCGCAGCATGCATAATTTGTGCAAATGGGCCAACGAGGGTGGGTTTAGAAAATGCAGTGTCAAAACGAATGACATATTCAGATTCAACAAAAACTTGATTGAATTTAACGGTGCCACTGCCTGTGGTTTTTTGTCCAAAGCCTGACCAATCATTGATACGTTGTAAGCCTTGTGCATCTGCAGAAATAAAAGCCAAATATTCACGTTCTTCAGCATCACGGACTAATGTCGGAATACGATGGGCAAATAGACTGCCCGTGCAATAGAACTTTTCCCCATTGACCACATAACCATGTTCAGTTTGACTAATTTGGGTATGCTTTTGTGCAGCAGTCTTGGTCTTAAATTCAGCGAGCGCATTGCCAAAACGAGCGCCTTGAAGTACTTCACTATAGAGTTTTTCCTTTTGCTGCTCTGTACCCGTATTACGTAATACTTCCAGTGCATAAAAATGGTTTTGTGGAATCTGACCAATAGAACCATCTACACCGCTGAATAAAGCAATTATTTTAGCGACAGTATGACTAGATACCTCCGCACCACCATATTGCCGCGGTACTGTGATCGCCCATAACCCTGATTGACTAAAAGCTTCAACCTCATCAAAAGGTAAAATTCTTTCAGCATCACGGAGTACTGCATTTTGTTTAAATTGCTGACTCAATTGTTGCGCGATTTCTAAAGCCTCTTGATCATTTTGAATAATATGTGCTTGCGCAAAGGGATGATTGTTTACATCCAATGTTTTATTGATATCTTGATAAGTTGTCATATATATTTCCCTGTTAAGTAACAAAGTCGTTTAACTTTAAATCCACGCATGGCGCTGATTTTGCGTACCATTTAAGTAATAATTTCCAATGGCATGAAGTTTCCAACGCACAGGGTCATGTAAGGTATGTACACGAGCATTACGCCAGTGTTGATCGAGATTATGAGTTTCTAGGCTTGAACGACTTCCGCCTAATTCAAGTAGCTTTTCAGAGATAAGGAGTGCTGCATCGTTGGCATACACTTTTGCCTCAGCAACAATAATGGAGGCTTTACTGGCTTGTTCAGGGCTTACGGTGTCTTGTGAATCTAATTGATCTAAATATTCTGCAGCTTCATCGAGCAATAAAATAGATGCATCGAGTAAGATATTTAGCTTACCGACTTCTTGTAAGGTATACGCTTCAAAACTGGCTTTATCCACATTGGCATCAATGATTGGACGCGCTTTATGGATTGCAGATAAAGTATCTGCAAATGCAGCTTCTGCAATGCCAACATCAATCGCAACCTGAATCAGTTGTGAGTACGCCCCACGATATTTTGACGCATCGGCAAGTGGTTTTTCATCCATAATAAGATCTGGGTGAACCACAACATTTTTTAAACGTACTGTGCCACTTGCCGTTGTACGTTGTCCAAAGCCATCCCAATCATCAACAATTTCAACACCATCAGCTTTCGCATCAATAATTGTTAAAACAATATGACCATCTGGGTGAATTGCGCGTATCGCCAACCAATCGGCAAAATATGAACCCGTTGAATAAAACTTTTCACCATTTAAAAGGTATTGACCATTGATCTGTTCTAAACGTGTTTCAATGGTGCGGGTATCTTTGGTATTGCGTTCTGGGCCACCATTAGAAAGCCGTTTACCATTTAAAATTTCAGTATAAATAAACTGTTTTTGCTGTTCATTGGCAATATGCTCAATGGCATTTAACAAGCCAAATTGATTTTGAGGAATCTGTCCAACACTGGCATCTGCCTTGGATAAAATACGGAAAACATGCGCAAGGGTTTTATTTGAAACTTGAGCACCACCATATTTTTTGGCAATACGAATTCCACCTAATCCTTTGAGGCTTAATTCTTGTATGACATCAACAGGTAAAATTCGTTGTTGATCACGTATATTTCGTTCTACCAAAGCAAAATCAGCAACTTGGTAAGCTGCATTTATCGCTTGTTGATCGTTTTGGATCACAAAGGCTGAGGTAGAAGAATTCAAACTAGACATATTGGCACCTTTCAATAGATAGCAAAACGCTAAGCAATATTGTGGTAAAAATTAAACGAACTATTGTGATTAACTTATCTAAAATTATTGTTAGGATAAAAATCGCAAAGTTTTTTAATATTGAATATATGTTAAATAATTGAAATTTATAACTTGTTTTGAATTTCTCTGGTCGAACTCTTAGTCTGAAGCAGCTTTGTTATTCCTATCACGAATAAAGAATAAAGAAACTGATATAACCATAGAATAAGCATTGGGTCATATGACGAGCGATTGAAGTAAAAAGTACATTGTAATTCAGGTGATGAATGTCTAAAGTACACAAGATTACTCAGGATTAATCTTAACTTTTAGATTTATCTAAGCTTTTAATTAAAAAAATAATTTGGAGACTACATGCGTACGTTGTACCAATTCCCACTCTCGCATTACTGTGAAAAAGCCCGTTGGTTGCTTGATCATAAAGAATTGGATTTTGTTGCGCAGAATTTAATCCCAGGTGTCCATCGTGCATTTGCACAACTTAAAACAGGGCAAAACAAGCTGCCTATTTTAAAAGATGGAGAACGTTTTATTGCGGGGTCGACTCAAATCGCATTGTATCTAGATGACGTTTATCCTGAACATCGACTGCTTCGTACAGATCACACGCTTCGCGAAAAAACCTTAGAAATTGATTTGATTGCCAATGAGTTAGGTATTCATGTACGCCGTTGGGGATTGGCACATGCTTTAGCAGAAGGCGATGAACCATTAGAAATTATGATTGGTGAAAAAGGCTATTTACGTCAATTTGAAAAAATTTCAAAGCCTATTCTTAAAACCATGGTTTCAAAAAGTTATCAATTGGACAAAGAGAAAGTCGAAGAATCTAAATACAATTTAGAGCTGACGATAGACAGTTTAAATAAGATCTTGATTGATAACGGTTGTCGCTATTTTGTTGGTGATCGCCTTGGTTTGGCAGATATTTCAGTATGTTCAATCCTTGCACCGTTATTAGAATTACCTGCGACACCATGGGAAAAGGAATATGCAGAAAATATTTCTCAAGAATTTACCGAATTTAGCCAACATTTGTTAGAACTGCCTTTAGGGCAATACGTGAAAAGAATTTACGCCACTGAGCGCAATGCACGTGTGGATTGGCGAGGAATGTAAGATTTCAAAGCAAGAAACTCTCCAATTTACTGAAAAATTAAGTATCATAGTGTGGAATTGGAGATTTTTTAATGCAGAAGTTCGTAATTTTAGGTGCGATAAGCACTGTTTTATTGATGGCGGGTTGTACTGAGAAAAAGCCTGCAACTCCTGAAGAAATTTGGAAAGGTTACTGTACCAGTATTGGTAATGCTGCACGTTCTATTACTTTAGATCGTCAAAATGGGATTACCAAGAAAGAAGCAATTGAATATGCAAATAAAGTCACTGATCCAACAACTAAGGGCTTTGTACTTGAGTATTTAGAGAAAGTCTATGCATTATCAGATGCAGAGCTAAAAGCGGATAAAGATGCAGTTCAAGCAAAGTTTAAGAACGAAGCATTTGAACAATGTCTAAATACACCGCATGATCCGACAAAAATGCCAGATTATAAACCGTTCTAAGGAGCGGTTTTTTTATGGCTTAAAGCACAACAAGCAGGATATATACCTGATCAGCAGACAATGAAAGAATACGATTTGTGTACATTAGAAATGCGAATCGTGAATGGTCAAGACATGCATACTTTTGAGTCCTGATTCTTTTAAACCATTTAAGTGTATTTTTGAATAAAGATTACGATGACGTGGTTTTTTTATGTTGAGTTATCGAGAATATATAAGTAATCGACAAGCCTCGTCACAAAAAATGATTAGCATAAAAATTGAAAAGCATATATACAATATAGAAATAGAAAACAAAAAGTAGCATAGGAGTGAGACAATGGAAGTAGTTGCTTATTTACATAATGCAGATTTGCTCTTAGAAGATGACAATGGTGTCGCTGTGATTAGCGGAAGTCATTATGTGCTGAGTTTAGGCGATCAAGTTTTTTTCCAAGAAGTCATTGATGAACGAGCGAAGTTATACCAAGTAAAAATTTCATTTGCGTGTACTGAACATTCAATGTTTCATGAAGATGAAGTGCAAATGAAATTTGAAGGTTGTCGTACAGAATTCCAAAAGTATGTAGACAGTACGACAGTCCACTAAGGTGGAATGTACTTTGTTCTAAAAAAAAGGCAACATATGTTGCTTTTTTTATGGCTGAAACAGTCTAAAGGCAAGGTAAACATAACTTCAATCTGATTAAAAAGAAGTTTATGTTTTACAAAGATTATATTTTTAGAGCTTTTTCGAATTAATTTGAGAAATAATTTACATAAATGTTTGATGAAAGCGTACTGTGTAGATCTGTAGTTAAATGAAGCGGAAAGTGATGAGTATTTATTTATAAAATAATGGTCATCACGAATTAATACGTTCATTGCATTAACTTTTGGCTTGATTTTTAGTAAAATTTGACAGTCCATATTGCCTGTGAAGCTTTAATAAGCAGGAATTCACAGGTGAATTTTTAAAAAGAGGAATTACACCGTGCTAGAAGCTTACCGCCAACACGTTGCAGAACGTGCCGCACTCGGAGTCCCACCGAAGCCACTTGACGATGCTCAAACTGCTGACTTGGTTGAATTACTAAAAAATCCACCAGCGGGTGAAGAAGCATTTTTAGTAGATTTGCTTGAAAACCGTGTTCCAGCAGGTGTTGACCAAGCTGCATATGTAAAAGCTGCTTTCTTGACTGCTGTTGCTAAAGGTGAAGCAACTTCTCCATTGGTTTCTAAGGAGCGTGCGGTTTACTTACTAGGTACTATGCTTGGTGGTTATAACGTAGCACCTTTGGTTGAATTACTTGACGATGCTGCACTTTCAAGCTTAGCTGCTGAAGCATTGAAAAAAACGCTTCTTGTATTTGATGCGTTCCATGACGTTGCTGAAAAAGCCAAAGCGGGTAATGCAAATGCACAAGCCGTTATGCAATCTTGGGCTGATGCTGAATGGTTTACTAGCCGTAAAGACGTTCCAGAAGAAATCAAACTTACTGTTTTCAAAGTAACTGGCGAAACAAATACTGATGATTTGTCTCCTGCACAAGATGCTTGGAGCCGTCCAGATATCCCATTACATGCAAACGCAATGCTTAAAAACGTACGTGATGGTATCAACCCAGAAGTTCCTGGTGAAGTTGGTCCATTAAACCAAATCAAAGAACTCATCGCAAAAGGCAACCAAGTTGCTTATGTTGGTGACGTTGTTGGTACGGGTTCTTCTCGTAAATCTGCGACTAACTCAGTGCTTTGGTTCTTTGGTGATGACATTGCTCACATCCCGAACAAAAAAGACGGTGGTTACTGCTTAGGTTCTAAAATCGCTCCAATTTTCTTCAACACAATGGAAGATGCTGGTGCATTACCTGTAGAGATTGATGTTGCTAACATGAACATGGGCGATGAAATCGTTCTTAAAATTGATCATGCTGCTGCAAAAGTCACTGCATTTAAAGCAGGCGAGCAAATCGCTGAATCTGAGTTGAAAACGCCTGTTCTTCTTGACGAAGTTCGTGCGGGTGGTCGTATCAACTTAATCGTTGGTCGTGGTTTGACAACTAAAGCGCGTGAAGCTTTAGGTCTTCCAGCATCTACTTTATTCCGTGTTCCAGTTCAACCTGAAAACACTGGTAAAGGCTTTACTCAAGCTCAGAAAATGGTTGGTCGTGCTTGTGGTCTTCCAGAAGGTCAAGGCGTTCGTCCAGGTACTTACTGTGAACCGAAAATGACGACTGTTGGTTCGCAAGATACGACTGGTCCGATGACTCGTGATGAATTGAAAGACTTAGCTTGCTTAGGTTTCTCTGCTGATCTTGTGATGCAATCTTTCTGTCACACAGCTGCATATCCAAAACCAGTTGACGTTCAAATGCAACATACGCTTCCTGATTTCATCATGAACCGTGGTGGTGTTTCATTACGTCCAGGTGACGGTATTATTCACTCTTGGTTAAACCGTATGCTTCTTCCAGATACAGTTGGTACTGGTGGTGACTCACATACACGTTTCCCAATCGGTATTTCATTCCCAGCGGGTTCTGGTCTTGTCGCGTTTGCTGCTGCAACTGGTGTTATGCCGTTGGATATGCCTGAGTCGGTACTTGTTAAGTTCAAAGGTAAAATGCAGCCTGGTATCACGCTACGTGACCTTGTACATGCAATTCCTTACTACGCGATTCAAGCGGGTGACTTAACTGTAGAGAAAAAAGGTAAGAAAAACATTTTCTCTGGTCGTATCTTAGAAATCGACTTAACAGAAATGGAAACTGACTTAACTGTAGAGCAAGCATTCGAACTTTCTGATGCTTCTGCTGAACGTTCTGCTGCTGGTTGTTCAATCACACTTTCTGAAACGAAAGTTGCTGAATACTTGAACTCTAACATCACAATGTTGAAGTGGATGATTTCTCAAGGTTATGGCGATGCACGTACTATGGCTCGCCGTGTTGAGAACATGGAAAAATGGTTAGCGAATCCATCACTTCTTCAAGCTGATGCTGATGCTGAATACACTAAAGTGTATGAAATTGATCTTGCTGACATTAAAGAACCAGTTCTTTGCTGCCCGAACGATCCTGATGACGCTAAACTTCTTTCTGATGTTCAAGGCGTTAAGATTGACGAAGTGTTCGTTGGTTCTTGTATGACGAACATTGGTCACTTCCGTGCTGCTGGTAAATTACTTGATAAAGTACCAGGTGGTTCATTGTCTACTCGTTTATGGTTGGCTCCACCAACACGTATGGACGAACATCAATTGATGGAAGAAGGTTTCTATAACATTTATGGTAAAGCTGGCGCGCGTACTGAAATGCCAGGTTGTTCATTATGTATGGGTAACCAAGCACGTGTAGCTCCGAACACAACTTGTGTATCGACTTCTACGCGTAACTTCCCGAACCGTTTAGGTCAAGGCGCAAATGTATACTTAGCTTCTGCTGAGCTTGCATCTGTTGCTGCTGTACTTGGTAAATTGCCTTCTCCAGAAGAGTATCAACAATATGCTGCTCAAATCGACAGCATGTCTGCTGACATCTATCAATACTTGAACTTCGACAAGATGGGCGAGTATACAGATGCTGCTAAAGACATCGATACTAAGAAAATTGCTGCTGCTCAATTAAGCTAATTTATTGAAAAATAGATTAAATTGAGTTAAAACTAAGGGCTGATTAATCAGCCCTTAGTTTTATGTATAAAAAAGCTTATATGTGCTATTTACTTAAATATAATGGTTAAAATGATATTCGAATGGTTTATACAATAGGGTAAAAGGAATTGCATCAATTTTATATAAACTGGTGAGAAATGGCTCAAGTACACGATTTTGTTGTTTTAAATAAAGAAACATATGCATATGAAGATCATATGCAACTGGTTAATCAAGTACCTTATGATGTATCTATACATGATGATCTAATTATGTTTTTTATGGTTTTTTACAACAGATACCAACTTATAATCCATCTAAAAAGGTTAGACATACTGGTTTAAATTACTATGGTATAACGATTATTGATTCTGAAGGGGCTTTAGTCACATATAACATAATCAGCAGTATTGTAAATGTTATAAAACTATCTCCGAAATTTCTAAAATTTAGTAAAGGATATACTTATAAATTTGCTGAAGAGCAAGAAAAATTAATATTTCAGAAATATAAAGTGGTCGACCAGTTTGACCAACTGAAAGGATGTATTAAACAAGTCATTGATTCAAATGGGCAATTGTATATTGCTCATTTAGGAATTTAGTACAGCTATTTTTTGATAAAAATAATAATTTGTTAACTATACATTTTTAAAATATCAGCCATCATATTTTTAAAATCTAAAATAACGACATAATGATTGATGCTCGATGGATCAAAATCAGTGTTCACAGAATCAAATAATGTATTTGTTAATGGAGTGATATTTAAATCATCGATAAGACAAGAGGAGTCTAAATTAAAATACTCAATATAATAATTAACTTTTATTTTTGCATATTCTGAGTATTTAAAACCAGATAAAATGAGTTGTTGATCATCATTGCTTAGATTTTTTGAACAGATGGTAAATAATAATGCCATACAGAAGTAGTCAAACTCATCTTTATTAACCACTATAATATTTAAATCCATAAAATAGTTTTTAAGCATACTTTGAATCAAGGCAAATGAACTTGCTAAATCCGCAGATAAATTTTGAATAATATTAGAATACGTCATCATTTTTTTAAGTTTTAGTGAATCAATGGGTATTGTATTGCAAAACTATTGTTTTGTAAAACAATACTTATGGTGCAGAATATATTGCATTGCAATACGTCTAAGATACTTTGTTAAGCTAATATCAAAGAATGAATATAGGTCATGCAATACGTTATTTGAGAAAACGGAAAGGCTGGACTCAGCAGCAATTAGCCGATTTTTCCAATACTTCAAAAAGTAATATTTCCAATCTTGAGAATGGCAATCAAGGGTACAGTCCTGCAATACTCCAGTACCTTGCTGAGGCTTTTAATTGCACTGTAGCGCAATTGTTTTTATTGGCAGAAAGCTTAGATGATGATGAAAACATTGCTGAAAACTGGGATCAGATGCCCATAGATGCACTATTCATACAACTCCCAAAAGATATTCAAGATAATTTAAAACAGCTTATATATAGCTTGATTAAAAATAAGTCCTAATTCTATATCTCATATTTATTAATATTATACGATTGATCTTCAGCTTCTATAGTTATTTCATTATGCATAATGATTTTAAGCAATTTAATCTAACCTGATATAATTGAAATCAACCCGGTATGTGTCTTTGAAATTTATCACTTTTATATACTAACTGCGTTTTAAAATAATAATACTCATTTAACTTATTGATCAAATGATCAGACAATAAAAAGCCCCTTATTCAGGGGCTAGTCGTATAGATCACTCTATACTTATATAAGGCTCATCTCATACTGGTTGTATTAAAACACAAAATGAGATATTCAGCCATAAAAAAGATGAGCCGTAGCTCATCTTTTTTACACAAGAAAATTAATGTGCATTTGCTACAGCAGGTGCAGCAGCGGCTGTCGCATCATTTGCAGCTTTACGAGTAGGTGTGTAGTTTAAACCTAAAGTCGAGCTGGTATATGTACGCACTTGATCAAGCAGAGCAGGGTTGGTATTTAGATCCTGTTGATAAGACTTCACAATCTCATGCAATTTTGGATTCCATTTACCTTTCACTTGCTCAGGGAATGCTTTTTCCATCAAGCTCAGCATAATGTATGGAGAGGTTGATGCACCAGGAGAAGCACCAAGAAGGCCTGTGATTGAACCATCTTTAGAGGTGAAGATCTCAGTACCGAATTGAAGTGTTGCAGGTTTACCCGGTGCTTTTTTGATGATTTGAACACGTTGGCCAGCTTGGCTTAAAGTCCAGTCTTCAATTTTTGCATCTGGATAATACTTTTTCAATTCATTGAACTGATCTTGCTTAGACATCGCCACTTGGCTGACTAAATATTTCACCAAGTCCAGATTTTCCATTCCAATGGTTGCCATCGGAATCACATTGTTTTTGTTGGTCGCATCAATCAAATCAAACTGAGAACCATTTTTTAGGAACTTGTTTGAATAGGTTGCGAATGGACCAAACAATACATACTTTTTACCATCAACGTAACGAGTATCAATGTGTGGTACAGACATTGGAGGTGCACCTAATTCAGGCTTACCATAGACTTTTGCAGTATGTTGTGATGTAACAGCTGGATTGTCTGTCATCAAGAAAATACCACCAATCGGGAAGCCAGCATATTGCTTAGTTTCTTCCAGACCTGTCATTTGTAATAATCTAATCGCAGCACCGCCCGCACCAATAAATACATGGCGAGTTTTAACATGGCTGGTTGTGTTGGTTTTTAGATTTTTAAACGATACAGTCCAAGTTTTGTCTGCATTTTGACTAATACCTGTTACTTCAGATGAAGTTTCAAGTTTGAATTTAGGCTGTTTTTTCAAATGATCAATTAATTGGGTTGTAATTGAACCATAATTTACATCAGAACCTACGTCCATACGTGTTGCAGCAACTTTTTGGTTTGCATCACGGCCTTGCATAACTAGAGGCGCCCATTGCTTAATTTCAGCAGGATTTTCAGTATATTTTAATCCTTCGAACATTGGGCTTTGGCTCATCGCTTCATAACGTTTTTTCATGTAGTTCACGCTATCGCCCCAAACAAAGGCAATATGTGGTACAGGATTAATAAAGCTGTTTGGTTGACCCAGCACGCCATTTTTGACCTGATAAGCCCAGAATTGTTTACTTACTTCAAATTGTGAAGCAGTATCAATGGCTTTTTTAATATCAACTTTACCGTCTTTCTCAGGGGTATAGTTCATTTCCATAAAGCCAGAGTGTCCCGTTCCTGCGTTGTTGAATCCCGCAGAACTTTCTTGACCTACCTGATCCAGACGTTCATACATATTGATGGTCCAGTCTGGTTCAACTTCATTGAGGTAAGTCCCCAAGGTTGCACTCATAATACCGCCACCAACAAGTACCACATCTACAACTGGTTCATCTGCTGTTGTGTTGACTTTTTTAGAAGCAATTGGTCTGAATAAAAAGATCAATCCAATAACAAATATAACCCCGATGACAATCAGTAGGTATTTAAAAAATCTCTTCATATATTTCCTGTTTCATCAAGTTTTAATAATATTGTAATGTAGAAAAGTTACATAAATGTTAGTTTGTGTAATGATTTTTTTCGTAAATGATTTAAATATATGAAATAATTTGTTTTTAAATTTGTAAAGATGTGTACAAAAAACAACCAGATTAAAATTTGATTAGTATATTTGTGTAATAAATATTCAAAAAAGTCTTAGACTAAAGTACTATTTTTTGTAGGTGTTAAGCTTTTTGTAGCTTTAAATTGGCTAAAAAATATCCTGAAAAGAAGAGTTTTTTAGCCCAAATATGAAAACTCTTCTCAAGATTTTTTGCTTATTCAATCATCATGAGGTCTGATTTATTTTCAAGCTTTAAAGGACGTAAAGCAAAAATAGAACGAGTATGGCGAATACCTTTCATTGAATATAAATTTTTACGTAAAAAGCGCTCATAATGTTCAGCATTTTTCACCGCAACTTTGACCAAATAATCATAATCGCCTGTTACCAAGTGCGCTTCTACAACTTCAGGCATTTGACTGAGTGCATCACTAAATTGTTCTAAAATCTCGTCATCATGACGTTCTAAGGTGATCTCAATAAAAAACAGTTCATTAATCCCAATAGCTTTGGCATTAATTGTTGCAGTATAGCCTTCAATGACATTTAAAGATTCTAGACGTTTAACACGTGTCCAACATGGCGAAGAGGAGAGTCCAACCAGTTCAGAGAGCTGAGCGACCGTTAAACGACCATCTTTTCGAAGTGCCGATAAAATTTTGCGATCAATCCTATCTAAAGTGTACTGACTTTCATTCATGAGCTTTACCACAGAAAATATTTTCGAGAATAATGGAATATGTGAAAAATCATTCCGAAAATACTGGAGATTTATATTAAATACGGGAAACATTCTATTCAGTAGAACGCTAGAATAAACTTATCAAATCAAAGACATTTGGGAGACTGGCTTTGATTTAGCGGATAGTATCTTTAGAGGAAAGGGTGCCTTTAACGATACTGTCCGCGACCTTATTCTACGCTTTAAAAAAATTATAAAAATAGCTTTAAAACGATAAAATTCAACCGCGCCTTCACAAATTGCATATGATTCAATAAGACATTGTAATCTTAGTCATTGTATAACAAAAAATTATGCAATGAATAATATATATTTATACTTTGAGTTTGATGCTTTAACAGTCAAAATAATTAACAAAATTGTAAACTCAAGCAGCTGAAGATGTGCAATTAAATCGAGAAGTATTAAGATGATTTATCTTTAAAATAAAGAATAATGCATGCGATTCACAGCTTGGTACACACTCCGAAAATTTGTATATGACAATTTACATAATGAAGATTATGAAACGTGGTTTAGCCGTGCGATCAATTTTTCTTTGATTTTTCTAATCATTGGTAATGTTGTCGCGGTACTTTTAGAATCAATCAATGATGTTTATAAAGCCTATCAGCTTTACTTCGATGCTTTTGAGGATTTTTCAATCATTGTATTTTCAGTTGAATACATTTTACGTTTTTGGAGTGTTGCAGAAAAAGAACCGTTTGATTCTGAGTGGAGAGTACGCTGGAAATATGTGACCAGTGGCGCTGCGATTATCGATTTGCTGGCGATTTTACCTGCATATATCAACTTCTTTGTGCATATTGATTTGAGATTTTTGCGGATTCTACGCTTACTGCGTTTATTAAAACTTACCCGATATTTTATTTCACTACAGATTTTACTGCGCGTTATAGAACGTGAAAAAGGTTCATTTCAAGCAGTGATTTTTATTTTGGTGATTATGATTGTGATGGCGGCAGCAGGAATTTATGTCGTCGAAGGTCGAGCACAACCTGATGTCTTTAGTTCAATTCCTGCATCTATGTGGTGGGCGGTGGTGACGCTCACTACTGTGGGTTATGGTGATGTAACGCCAATTACCCCACTTGGACGCTTTCTTGGTGCTTTGATTACTATACTCGGTGTCGGATTGGCCGCTTTACCCGCTGGTATCTTGGCAAATGGTTTAGCCAATGAGTTGGAGTTAAGGAAACAACAACTGGAGTTGAAGTTTCGAGATCTGTTAGAAAGCTGTGAAATTGACATCATTCATGATGAAGACAAGATTGATGATATTCGTAGAGATGTTGGCTTATCTGCTGAACAGACGCGAGATATTGTTTTACAACTGATTCGTGAACGTAAAGAACAGGAATTGGAAAGAGAAAAAAACAAGTATTGTTTCTGTCCAAATTGTGGGTACAAGTTACCTGAGTGAATATGATTCAAAAGGGATTTATACAATCAAAAAATAAATGAGAAAGTGAAGTGTAACGATTAAAAATAACTTTTTCTAAAGTTACACTTCAGATACAATGTAAATGATCAGGCAATTACAACTGAACAAAAGAATGGATTGTCGACATAACGCATTGGATTGTAATGAAGTATGAAAATTAAAAGTTTATCAAAAATTGTTTTATGTGCTGTAATTTCTCTAAATACAGGCTGCGCTGCTGTCATGGCAACAAAGCAACCGACAAAAAAAGATTTATCAATATTTAATAAAGGTGTAGATCGTAGTTTAATTATTGCTGAAATTGGGGCACCTATTACATCTGAATTTAAAAATGGTAAACGTTATGAAATTTACACATTTATGCAAGGGTATTCAAAGGCCAATAAAATAAGCCGTGCGGTCTGGCATGGTGCGGCAGATGTTGTCACTTTTGGACTTTGGGAAATTATTGGCACACCAACAGAATCAGCTTTTAATGGAAAAAAAACTTCTTATGAAATGGTTTTTGATGCTGATGATCGTTTAGAAAGCTCTAAATTATTGACAATGTCAGACTATAAAAATGATTCAAGTTCTGTAGCTGAAATAGAAGTTAAAAAATAAATGAAAACTTTATAAGAATAAAAACAAGGAAGCACAGCGCTTCCTTGTTTTTATTTTAATCTAACTTTATCAAGGTTTAATTAGGTCATCATCTACATAGCGCTATCCATTCTTACATTGGCTGAGACGAATCAATCCTCGCTTTATTTGCGCTAAGTGCATCACAATAAAAATGATATATTCAATCTGCATAATGATGAAAATTCTTCTAAATATTTTGACCAACGAATAGCCGAATAAGAATTTTAAATTTATTTTTTACATATTTTTTAATGAATTATTGAGTAAATTTAAGTATTAATAACGCCATAAAAGTTTTGAATGGTTAACAATGAACATTAATGTTGATATTTTTGGCACGATTGCAATTGCTGTAGCCGTTCTTTTTATTGGTTATTTTCTTGTAAATAAGATCAGTATATTAAAGCAATATAATATTCCTGAACCTGTCGTGGGTGGGTTAATTGCTGCTGCTGTGACTTTTGTGCTTTTTAAGCAATTTAATATGACGGTAAATTTTAATGCCGATATTCAACAAAGTTTTATGTTGATGTTTTTTACTTCTGTTGGACTGAGTGCGAGTCTGATTAAGTTAAAAGAAGGGGGAAAGTCACTGATCCTTTTTATGGTCTGCGTAGTGATTTATGTGCTATTGCAAAATGCAGTTGGGATAAGTTTGGCAACCGCACTGGATTTAAATCCTTTGATTGGCTTGATTGCAGGATCCGTTACTTTAACTGGTGGACATGGTACAGCTGGAGCATGGGGCAGTATTTTTGAAGAAAATTATGGTATCAAAGGTGCGATTGTCTTAGGAATGGCGAGTGCGACATTTGGTCTGGTCATTGGTGGAATGATGGGTGGTCCAGTTGCAAAGTTTCTGATTCGTCGTTATCAATTGGCTGAAGAAATAGCGCCATCAGCAGCGCGTATGCAAGCTCCTCCATCTGCTGAAACAGCGCCATTTGAATATCCAGAAAAGACCCGTTTGATTACCGCTGATGATGCGGTTAAAACCATAGGAATGTTTGCACTGTGTATCGTCTTTGCTAATTTCATGACAGGTGTTGCTAAAGGACAATGGTTTGAGTTACCGACTTTTGTATGGGCATTGGGTTGTGGGGTGTTTTTACGTAATACACTCGAATATGTATTTAAAATTGAACTGTTTGACCGTTGTATCGATGTATTTGGTAATGCCTCGCTGGCATTATTTTTAGCTATCGCTTTGATGTCTTTGCAACTGTGGTTACTTGCTGATTTAGCTGGTCCATTGGTGATCATTCTGATCGTTCAGACTGTTTTTCTTGCTTTATATCTATTTTTTGTCACTTTCCGAGTTATGGGTAAAAATTATGATGCAGCAGTATTGTGTGCAGGTCAGTGTGGGGTAAATTTAGGTGCAACACCGACTGCTATTGCCAATATTCAAGCTGTAACGAATACTTATGGGCCATCACATAAAGCGTTTTTAATTATTCCTCTAACGGGCGCATTTTTTGTTGATATTGTGAATGCTGTGGTCATTCAAACCATTACAAAGTTCTTTTAAATGTTCTTTTAGAAAAATCGATGTGATGACTTTAGGATTTGAAAAAAACAGCCACAAGAAAGTGGCTGTTTTTTGTATTTAAATCAGTTTGATCATTACTCTTTTGAATCTCACACTGTTTTATAAGATTTATATAGGTGTAGTAAATCGTGATTCAGACTAAGGTTTTCTGTTAGTGACTTAAACTTTATAAAAAGTAAGTCACTTTAAAATAGTATGTGGCTTTAAAATAGTAAGCAGTTTTAGGATAGAAGTTATAGCTATAAAAGGACACTAGAATGGGCTAACAAGTTCAAGGCTTTAATCTTAAAGCCATGCATAATTTTAAAAAGTCGAATGAGAATATTTCTGTACGCGCTTCTTTAACACAATCTACTATTTATTTTAGTACTGGTTCGGGACAAGAAGATATATTTGAGATCTGTATGATAGCTTATGAATTTACAGATAGCGGTGAGTTCGAAAAATATAACCGCAAGTGGCTGAATGGGAGGCCTATTTTTTGAAAAATTTACCAAATGAATTGATTAACTTTATAAAAAATCCAATTGTATTTGAGCAGATGGAATTACCTTGGAACTATCCAGCTATTGATCATTTTGAGGATTTTCAAGTTGGTTATCGCGTTTGTGAGGGTATAGATGAAAATATAACAGGACGAAATGATGGAGCTTGGCATCCTGAAGGTTATGTTATTTGTTCCAACTATTTTAATGATCCATTTGTTATTCATCTGGATGAGGATAAAAAAGGCTATCCAGTCTATTATGCTCAACATGGCGTTGGGTGTTGGGATTTTAAACAAGTAGCCAGCAGCTTAAAGGATTTCCAATTAGATTTGATTCAAATCCAACGTCTTGAACACGATAAGCAGGCTTTAATTGATTACGTGGGGAGTAATAAAAACTTCAAGCTAGATTTTTGGAAGGAATTGCATTTGAGTCTAATCGAATCGTTATCTGATGAAAATATAAACGCAAATGATGAAATAGAATCTCAACCATGGATTTATGGCAAATTAATACTTGTAGAATCAGGTAAAAATAAAATTAAAGTGGTGAGTTTTCTAAAACAACATTTCAAAGTAACAGGTATGGAAGCGTTGCAAATCATCAATCAGTTACCATTGGAAATTGAAAGCGGGGCTGAGCAGTTCTGTCAATACAATAAAGACTATTTGGAGAATATTGGAGCACATGTCAAATTTATATCGGATTAAAAATAGCCACCTATCTGTATGAATTTAAATGTAGATATATGAAGGGTATAACTGAGTAACTTTTTTCAAAAATTTAATGAACACAGTAATATACTTTAAATATGAATCATCATAATATGTATGCCACAAACTCTGTGCTT